TTTTGACAATTATTTATGAATCTTAACATGTATGCAGTGATTCTATTCAATTTAGCATAATTAGAATATTTATTGATAAAATTTATTTGTTCAGTAGCAAATTTGCATTCAACCTTAATCTCAGGTAACGACGTTAAGATATTATTGGGTTGAATGGGCCATTGAGATTCTGTTTGCATTAAAAAAGGTGGGCCATAAAACCACAACAGAGAATTTCTTAACTGGTTGGCGTTACAGCCCCTAGATCCTATATCAGCCGGGTTTAAATGAGTAGGTACATATCTCCATGCTTCTGGGTTACTATTTTCCGTTATCTCATTAATTCTATTAAGTACGAACGTTTTTAAAGAAGATTTAGGAGACCTTATCCATCCCAACACAATAGTGGAATCACACCACATAACAATACGATCGATATTTAATCTCAATGCAGTTCGAACCTTTTCCATGAGTCTGATTGCTAGTAATGCACCACAAAGTTCTAGCCGAGGTACAGTCATACTCTTTAAAGGGGCTACCTTACTTTTAGCCATGGCTAAATGAACGGTGACATTACCATCAACCGATAAAGACCGTAGGTATACGCATGCACTATATGCGTGCAAAGACGCGTCACTAAATGTATGAATTTCTATAAATATAGGTGAGGTGCATAATGTATGGCGCGGAATATTAATTTTATTAAGCTGTGGAAGAGTGTTCAAAAATGTCAACCAATCCCTTTCGATTTTAGGAGGTAGGGGATCATCCCACGCTACTTTAGCCGCCCAAAGGGCTTGCAAAATTATTTTTCCCCTAAGTATACATGGGTTAACAAGCCCTAAAGGATCAAAAACTTGTCCTATTGTAGATAGAACTGAACGCTTGCTCAATCTATCAAACGATAATGTGTCAATGTTAACGGAGAACAGAAGAGTATCTGATTTACAAGACCATCTTAAACCTAATGTTTTTGCATCATCATCATTTATTAGCTTGAGCAATTCATCGCCATTATTATTTTCTTCGATGTTGCCTAATATTTCTGAGCAATTAGACCGCCATTTTCTCAAATGAAACTGACCCTTTTTTAATTGATCAATAACACCTCGTATTATATGTATAAGGGTTGACTTTGAGTCATGCCCACTTATATAATCGTCTACATAACAGTCATGTATGATAGTTTCGCGCACCAATGGATCAGTGCATTCTCGACCCAACTGTACAAGACAACGAGTAGCCAAATATGGCGCCGATGCTGTGCCATAAGTTACAGTATTAAGCTTATATGCTTTCAATTCTTCATTAGGGTTAAAACGCCAAAGTACTTGCTGCAAACATCTTTGATGGTCTGCAACGAGAACACATCGATACATTTTTTCACAATCGGATGTGACTACATACTTGTGTTGTCGAAAACGAATTAAAATACTGATAAGGTCATCCTGCACAGTAGGGCCTATGCTTTGGATGTTGTTGAATGACAAACCTGATGTGGTCCTCGCGGAAGCATCAAAAACCACCCTCAATTTTGTTGTGAGGCTAGATTCCTTTAAAACACCATGATGAGGTAAAATATATGTATGCTTATCCCCACCACTACTAGTATTTAAAGACATATGACCCAGATCAATATACTCCTGAATGAAGTCACAATATTTTTGTTTAAATAATGGAAAACGCGCAAATTTTCGCTCTAGAGACAAAAACCGGTTAAAGGCTTGATCATAAGATTCACCCAACACCTCTGGTGATTGTTGTAATGGTATTTGTACTATGAATCGACCATCACTTTGTCGTGTTGTGGTAGTAATAAAATGCAACTCACAATCATTTTCTTGTTTTGTAGTTTTACGTAGTGTAGGTACTGATTCCAATTCAAAAAACCTATCAAGCTTGTGTTGTAGTTCAACTTCGTTCAATAAATTGCAATGGACTGTATTAATGTATGTAAATTGTTGATTGTCCGAACTATTATTCCCCTGTGAATGTGTGTGTGTATGCATTGCACCCGATACCAACCAACCAAATTTACTACTATTGAGGATTGGCTTATTTTTACCAAGTGAAATGCGCTCATTGCCCAATACATTCCAGAATACATCAGCGCTAAGTAACATGTCAATATCAGACGGCAAGTTGAAAGTTGGATCAGCTAATTTAATGTTGGTAGGTATATTTAATGATTTTATATCAAAATACGTAGCAGGTAATGTTTGAGTTATGCGTGGTATAACGAAACAATTTATCTTAGTTGTATAATTTTCAGTTCGTGAAAATAGTTTTACAGTAGAACGTAAATTTATACGAATAGGCTCGCAACTTATCCCTTCGACTGTTCTCGAAGTTGAATAAACAGGTAATTTTAATTTATTTCTTAATTTGTCGGTTATAAAATTAGAGGTACTGCCGTTATCGAGTAATGAACGTACTGTGTGACGCATGCCATCATTGTCAATTACGTCTATGAGAACTGTTGACAGAAGAACGCAACTATTATGTGTAGATGACAAGACCACCTCAGGTTGGTATGACGAGTTGCCCTCTTCTGCACAGTGAGCATCATCATACAATTTTGGATCAATAATTTCTTGTGTAGTTAAACAATTGTTGTTGTTTAATGTGTTAGGAGTTTCCTTAGTTTCGACCTGTAATTGGTCTTCAGTGTGCAACATTGTGTTATGCCATTTGGCACATATTCGACACGGACCGAATCTACATTTATTTACCTCATGCCCGTGTCGTAAACAATTTAAACAAAGTTTCAATTTTTTCACCTTATTAATTTTAGCCGAGACAGATAAAGATTTAAACTTTGGGCATAGATAAATAGCATGATTTTGTTTACATAAACGACATGAATACTGTGTAGTTTGTTGTATGTGTGTATTATTATTATTATTAGTGTTTGCTACAAATGAACGCGAGCTTAACTTGGCTGGTTCACTATGTCTGCGTTTTATGTGACTCATATTTATCGTTTCAAGCAAACCGGCACGATCTTTAATGAATTTTATAAATTTTTCTAAATCAGGGTATTTTTCAAAATTGTTAATGTACTCTTTCCATTTTCTATTTGTTGCATTGTCGAGTTTGCTTGATGCCATATGTATGAGTAACATATCCCAGTTATGCGTGTTAATGTTTAGACTTTGAAGTGCCCTAAGGTGTTTATTCACTGTGTCAACTAGGTTTCTTAATGCAATAGATGATTCCTTTGTAATTATTTCTATATCGAATAAGGCCTGAATATGGTTGTTTATTAAAACCTTGTTGTTATGATAACGTTCACACAATAACTGCCAAGCGATATCATAATTATTGGCAGAAAAATCTAACGAGCTAATAACGTCCGCAGCTTTGTCTTTTAACGATGATTGTAAATAATGATATTTGTTAATTTTAGGAATATTTTCATTGCAATGAATAAGCGATGTGAAGGTATCATGAAATCGTAACCATTCATCAAAACGACCAGAAAAGGTAGGTAACTGAATCGTAGGTAAAGTTAAAGTAGGTGCACCAGCTGTTAGTACAGTACCTGCTGCCGAGGAGTCAGACTTACTGTCTTGCTGCGCCGAAGCAAACCTGCTCACCCACTCGCGGGCGCTGCCAACTAATGCAAAGTATTCACTCTCTAACTGCTCTCGATACAGATATTCTTTTTCGCATTCAGCTTCTGAAATTTCCAAGCAACCTTCGATTTCAATTTGTAATGCATCAAATTCACCGTACCATTCCTCAATCTTTGTTAATCTTAAGTTTAAATCACTAAGTTGCACTGGACTAGGCTTTTCTATAGATGAAAGAATTGAAAAGTACGATTTAAATTGCGTAATTTTAGCTTTATATGAACTGCGTTTTCTTTTTAATTCGACTAGTTTAGTCATTATTGAAAATAGATAACAAAATGAAAATTAAAAAATGTATGTAGGTAGGTACAAGTGATAAAAGTATTCAATTTTTTGCTTCTAATTGATATAATTGGTAAACGTAAATTAAGGTGATAACAATAGAACGAATACTTAAAGCGGATACTGCAGTGTGATGTACTTGCTAGCTTAAGCACAGCACCGCACAGCAAGGCCAGCACAGGTAGAAAGACAGTCAGCTCACGCGCCTCCGATATGTTTTCAGTTTCGACTCGATTTTATCAGATACTGCAATTTGAGAATGAACTTAACGTAAAACAATTTCATATAATTTACTATTACACGTAATTAAAGTCCGTGTAATATGTAATACGGCGAAATAAAAACTGTTTACTCAAATATGAACTCAAGTTAACCAATTTTGAGCTATTGCTTAACGTTTAAAATCTGTATTACACGTAATTAATGTCCGTATAATTAGATAATAAGATATTTCAATAAATAACGATGTAATTAAACGAATATTTTCTATGAGAAATAAAATATCGTAGTATGTAGGTATGTCTGAAAATTATTCACGCAATTAAAGTTCGTGTTAAAATTAGGAATTAAAGGAAAGAAATTAGACATACAAGGAAATAATCGGATAAACACTGCCACTTAGCTGTACTACGCCTCCTTATCTTGGAATTTTGTAGCCGTTGAGTAATCTTCCATAACGTCTAGGTCGCTGGTTAATAGGTATCCGTTATAGGTATCCAGTGAGAAGGTCCAATTTGTATAGAAGATTTCTTCAGCTTTTAATGTTTTAATTATTATTCACAAGCCAGGTTAATATAATGTCGCAGAAACTTCCAATAGCTCATGAGCTCGATAAAATGAAAATGCGCTCGGAATGAAAAATACAGTAGTTTATTCGATCGACTCACAACGTAGTATGAACAGTGACGCGTCATGATGGCCCGAACGTCATAGTTATTCGATGATGTGCAATTAAGTCCGTTGAATGTGTTCGACACGTTTCATGTACCTATGTGCTGCGTTCTTTTCTACTGTATAAACCAGATCCCTTTGAATAATTAAATATAAACAACACCAATTGTCAAAGTTCAATAAATGTCACTTGCACTGCACTGCTCGATGCCAAATTGCGAAGTTGCGACTATATTTGTAATCACAATATATCGCACGAAATACGTTTATTTTTAATTTTTGATTGTTTTTAATCAAATTTTATATTTTTAATATGTCTTTAAATACGGCGCATGCTGATCATGGAGTGTTAATACATGCCCAAGAATGGTGAGTCACCTCTTCTGTTTATCATCGATTTCTGACGGAACATTCTACAGAAGTCTATGACCTATTATTGTTTTTGTAAATTATTCATATATTATCTAATTAATTAATATAATCTATGTGTTAAAATTAAAATGCTCTAAAATATCTACCTACAGTATTATAAAAAAAAAAACAGTCTGGGCACCTATAAGTTACCGTGAAATTGTAAGCATTGTAAAATAATTCATAAATATTACTGGAATTACTGCATTCTAATCTAAAACTATGATAGGTTACTGCAATGATATTACAATAAAAAAGGGTAGATAGATTACTTGAATTCAAAAAGTGTCATCTTAAAACTATGCTAATTAGCATACCTGAGCGCAGTCTGGCGAAAGCACTGATTGTGTGCGCTTATGTACCATAATCATTTTATAAATGCCATCCTGAGGGTTCACATTTCATTTGTAAATATACATTTTTAATTGATTAATTGAAGCCCTCGGGTGATTACATATACATCAGTGTTAGGTTTATTTTATTGCTTCAAAAGAGTGTGTATAGGCTGGGGTCAATTTTTGACATCGTATTAGTACTGCCATGACTACCCTTTTTATTGTAATATCATTGAGCTAATTTAATAAGATAGATTATAAACAGACAATGTTTATAATTATCTGATGACATTCTATTTGTCCATTATAGAATATTCATCATTTTAACAAGTCTGACACTCAACAATAATAATTGACATGTAATTTAACCCAGGATCTAATATATTCTTTGAGGAACAGTCAAGTAGTTGCTACTACTAATACTTATATGATGATATATAAGTTGAGTGAAGAATAGCATCTGATTCAAAAAAGGATTAAATATTTAGGGTTAAATAAATAATTTTTTTAATTTCAATCATTATGGATTTAGAATGAAGTCTATGTAAATAATAAAAAACATGTAAATAAATGTAGTCACTTCAAAATATTCAAACTCCCATGCTACTTGTCGAAGCAATAGCATCAATGTATTATCTTACAAAATAAACAACAAATTACAATTTAAATAATCTTTTAGGTTTTTATTTTTATTTCAACAATTTGGTAAACTATATTATTATTAAAAAAAGTCTATTATTAATAATAAAAATTTATTACAAACTTAAAAAAACATTTAGTTGTTAATTGATTTGGGTAATTAGTAAAAATAAATAACTCAAAATCTATATTGATTTACAATGTCATATCTCTAGTAGTGTTCTTTGATGTCACAACAAGTTTACTGTTATTTAGAGCATGTTGTATTAGTAGCAAAATAAAGTTGATTTAGAAAAATAATGCAGTCCCACTCAGATGCAATTTACATGTAGTAAGTTCCTAGTTGTTAATTATTTATAAAATTATTTCTCTTAGTAAAAACCAATAAAACAATTATTCAGTAAACATAACATTTCCGACAGTGACACATAGGAAGATGATCAAGAGCTGTTATAATTATATGGTAATATTTTTTTCAGCATTATTTTGTTCTCTGACAATGTAACAGTTGAATTTTATGGCAATGACACAGCAGAATTCAAAGGAACTAAAAATGGACGAATGTACCTTACCACTCATCGCATGATCTATAACTCCAAAAACAATTCAGACCCTATGAGATCATTTAGCTTTCCATTTATAACATTAGAAGATGTAAGTAAAAATTAATAATTATATTTTCTAATAATATATTTGTATTTTTTCTCTGATGAAATATCAATGTTCTTAGGTTACAGTGGAGCAACCTATGTTTGGTGCTAATTACATAAAGGGAAAGGTTACAGCTCAACCTAATGGCAACTTTATTGGTCAAGTAAAGTTCAAATTGATATTTAAATCTGGAGGAGCTATAGAATTTGGGCAAGCTATGTTGAAAGCCGCACATCTTGGTGAGCTCTTTATAATACAATATATGCTAGGTTATACAAATATCAGTGTCTCACCCCTTTCGTTTATTTTATTATTAATAATTTACATTTTATAAATTTCTTATTTAAATTGAGTAATAAAACTGTTTTTAACAGTGTTTTTTAATATGAACTATTACACAAATTAACATTATTACTCATATGTCAATTTCATGGAAAACTTAATTCCCCTTAACTTTTGTGGCTCACTGATATGCCTGCAGGCTAAATTTCTAGCCTAGGCTAAATTATGCAATTGTTGGCCAATCAGAATGATGCTCCAGACCCGATGAATTGTATTTTATGTTTTTTGGTTATTGAAACAAGTACATTAGTTCATTGTCAGTATAGGTAGAACTGCTTTATGCAAACAAAGATTCACATTGGAGTATTAGTTTCAGCCACTAAATGCCACTGTATATTATATTATATGAATACCTTTGTTGCCAATAGCATCACGTCACAGTGGTCCCGATGCCGCTCCGCCGCCGTACACGCCGCCCACAGGCCCGTGGTACGCGGCTCCACCACCGGCGTATGCGCCGCCGCCGCAGGGATACTACGGATGGGTGCCGCCCTACACAGTTAGTCGTAGCAATTATTATATATATTTTTATACTTAAATTAAATGCTTCTTAAAAATGTCAAAATCAATTATGGTGAAATTGTGACTTTTGAGTTCTGATGCGATTTGAGTTTTTTCTTCTTATATGGTATCTTTGAACTGTTTGAATTGATATTTACTTCATCATCATCCCTTTTGATGGGCTCTAGGGGCTCTGGGGGCCTTCCTTGGTTAAAGAGGATGTGCCATAACCCTCCATTCACGCCCAATGCGGATTGAAGGGTATTAGCGACTGCAAATGCAGCCGGGACCAAAGGTTTAACATACCTTTCGAACTGCGGAGTAGCACGAGATCATAATTTTTTGGTCACCCATCCCGTGACAGACCCTTGCAAAGTTGCCTAACAACAATGATAGCCGGCCGCGGCGCTTATTCACTACGCCACCGAGTTACTGTTACGATATTTATTTATTGTTATTAAGTCACTGTAGCATGTTATGATTATGATCTTATCCTGCAGTTTTTTAATAATAAAAAACTTGATCTGTGTGGTTGTGATTGTTTCAGGCTTTCCCTGATCAGCCACCGCCGAACTCTGTATTTGTAACGAATACCCCACCGCCATATCCGGGAGTGGCCGGTGCGAGTTACCCGGCCGGGACTGGATTCTCGGGGGCTGCTTCGCCTCCAGGTGGGGGCTTTGCCTCCGGAGCGCCGGGTTACCCGGGCGCCCCACCGGGATATCCGGGTAACGCGTCCGCTCCACCCGGCTATCCCGGTGGATTCGCGCCGCCCACAGGAGCTGCCGGCATGTCTTCTAGGGGTGAGGAAGGGAACTGAATATTTTTCCAAATTTATAAATGATATTTTTTAATTGTAATTGTATTTTGATGACCTAATGGAATATATTTTCGAGAAAGAATGAATATTTTATTCGGAGAGGACTGCACGGTATCCTGCTGGGTTCAGTGAGTAGCAGTAGCCTCTAAGTAGATAACTATTGAAGGTTCTTTCACTGTAAGAGTATATTACAATGTAAAAAAGTATGTTGTTTCATTTAATATTGTAGTTGTCTCTGTCATTCGGATCTAGTAATTAGTAGGGTAATTGTAAATTATATTGTTAGTTGGTACATTAGATACATAATAAATTTCAGATGCTAAAGCTGCAGAAGCAGCTCAAAGCGCATACTACGATCCGAACAGGCCCCAAACAGCGTATGTGCCGCCGCCTTATGTGAGTATAACATGTAATAGAGTAGGCAGTAGAAGCATTAAAGTTGTATATTTATCTTTAAATTTTGTGTACTTAATTTAGTAACATACCAGTTATTAGCGTTGCTATAAACTAGATACAATATTTATTTTATTTATCAGGATTGACGTCATTATAGGTATAAGTGATATGGAGACAAGATAAACTTTATATTTTTTTAAATTACAATTTTATTTATTATTTCATTTTGTTTCATAGTTATAATTAATGGTGTGCGCAATCGATTACCATTAATCGATTAATCGATTTTTCAAATAATCGGGTGCTATCGATTATGATTTTATAATCGACGATTAACCATCGAGTATTTCTTAAAATGTTAGCAATAGGAATAGTTTAAAACGTTAGTATAGTACCTACTTACTTTACTTCGATGGCTCAGCAACCCATAGCGGATCGCGAGTTTGAATATTATTAGTAGATATTCTATTACTTATTATGGCAATACTCTCACGAACAAATAGGTAACTTTACTCTTTGGTTGGGGAACTCCCGATGTTTGAATGAATGGATCTTAGTTTTATTTTAACAAATACATATTAATCGTTATTTACTAAATGCACATGTATAGTATACACGGTACATACCTATACCAAAATAATATTTTTTAAATTTATGTCTGTCTGTTTGTTCCGGCTAAACTATGAAACGGTTAGACCAATTTTGACGTGACTTTCACTGGCAGATACCTTATGTAATAAGGAATTACTAAGGCTACTTTCCACGCGGACGAAATCGCGCGTACAGCTAGTTTAATTCTATAAATTTTGCATGCACAATGCTGGTATAGTAAACATTGTCTTTAAATTTTTCATTAACTTGGATGGCTTTAAAATACGGTGGAATTAATATGAAATCATTAATAAACTTTTGGGGTAAAAATATTTAATAATCGTTGACATGAATCGATTATTAAACGATTACGAGTGATACTATAATCGATTAATCGATATGTATAATAATCGAATCGGCACATCATTAGTTATGGAATCCCATGGAATCCTCAAAATCCTTGATTTTGACAAATGTATCCCACTTTTTTTAAACATCGTTTAATATTTTATTTATACTTTGTTTTTAATAGGATCAGCCCCCGACTTACCAAGAATCTACGTCAAAGAAAGAAAATTAATGCACTGTCCACACTACCATATGTCCAAGGATGATGCGGGTGGTGATGTTGGCAATATATGATCAGAAAATTCCACAAGTTATATTTTATGACATCCCTTTTTTAGCTGGCTATATTTAAATATGATTAAAATTACATTCCCAGTGGATAATTGTAAAGGCGTTGGGTATAATTTAAACTTCAGATATTTCGTATTTAGAGTGCGACGCACGAAATATTTTGTTTTTTTTTAAAAAAAAAAGATCCGTGTAAAAATCTATTTTGGTATTAAGGATGCTTTTAACTTCGCAACCTATGTATTTTGTGTTCATTATTTATCTATTTGTAAATATAGCTAGATACTGTGATAATAAACAATTGCAAAATATGTTTATGTATGTTAGAGCAAACAAAGAAAAGTGTTATTAATTAATGTTACATTTATGTAAGCTATTTACGATTTCGAGGATCGAGAGCGAAGTCGTGGATTTATTATTTTCAAAGTAATTGAAATTTATTTTAAATATACGTAGAATAGATTCAAATTGCTAATTTATTATTCAAAAATGTATCGTTGGCTTTAAATAAACAGCATTATGTAATACGTCGTTTGTTTGATATTCATACACCCGTTATTATTTAAAACTGAATGTTTAAAACAGAGGTTGCCAAACATTTTATCTCGTAGACCATTTTAAAAAATTTACTGGTTTCGGTGGACCCCTGCTACTACATTTTTACCATATTCCCAAAAATAGTCCAAAATGTGAAGATCTAACGATTGAAATTGGTGTCGTGGGTGAGTTCCAACCCTAAATTCGGAGTGGTAAAAATAAATAAAAAATATTATATTTTCTTCCGATCTATTTATTGAAATAATAATGATAACAGACTTAATAGAATTAAAATGAAACACTAATAACGTTACGTATCTTCAACAATGCAAATCAATAATAAAAAAGATACCCATAATTTTAATGGGAGGGATGTACTTGATGGATAGACAGCAAGTTATCAATATTTGGCTTCAGTTTTGTATGGATTAACCGCAAATCTCCCTGTTCTGTAATGTTTTATCTGCTCCTTTTTTTTGTTAATAGGTTTGTAACGACACTATTTGACAAGGTATGACGAGGGAAACGCTATCATAAGTTGTCTCGCAATTTCCCATAGCCCTGTATATTTTTCGGGTATTGCTGCTTGCAGCCAAATCTTTGATAGCCTTTTTTAAATTGCACCTTCAACCCTTCATTGGTGCTGAGCTCGAGTAGTTCCTCTTGTAATACCACATCTGCCACTTCCGTTTTATCAAATGGATTTATGATCCATGGTGGTATTTCCATCATCAAAATATCTTCAAATTTGTTTTTGAAGTCATAATGCAGCGCATTGAAATGTTGAACGTATATCTTCATCAAGACCCCACCGCCCAAAAACTCTAAAACTGATTCAAAAAGTAAGTAAAACCTTGTTAAACACACACCTTTCGACATCCAGCGTACTTCAGTATGTAAAAGCAATCGTCGGAAGTTTTCATCATTTTCGTCGCAGAATTGGGCAAATGAACGAGTATTCAACTCGCCTACCTGCACATTGTGTGTAGGTAAGGCCAAGCCAACATTTTTGTTCTTTACTATCGAAACCAGATAATTTTAATATTAGATTAATAATATTTTCTTGTGGACCCCAATTACAACTTGTGAACCCCTATTTTTATTTCACGCCAACGTAGACCCCTGGTGGTCTACGTTGGCGTGAAATAAAACTGGTTTAAAAGCTTGCTAATGCTGACTCCATTTTCATACCGACATCAGTCGAGCTTACGAATAAAAGCGGGCGCATACACCGAAATCATTAACATTAAATAAGTTATTCTTAATGAAAAATCCACCTTGTCCCTGGCTCTTTGAGATTGGACTCGAACCCATGATCTTTCGCAATCTGGACGACTGCTCTAACCTCTGAGCTACCCAGGACTGAGGAATTTTTCAAGCAATTGTTACTGTTTCGCTACTACAGAGCGAAGTTTCATTAATGTTCAGGCAATACACCCTAACATTTTAACTTAACTTAACAAATATTTAAATTTTTGATAAGATGAAAATTTTTTCGAAGTAATTATTATATTTGACCAATTTTGCGTTCACAATGCTATACTGAAAAATTATGCCAGGGACAAAGTGGATTTCATAACCATTTTGCATTTAGAATATTTTTTGGTAAAGCATTGTGAATGCAAAATAAGCTGGCGGAAAGCTAGTTATATTATAAAGAGGAAAGATTGATTGTTCCTTTGTTTGTAACGAATAGGACCGATTTTAAAAATGCTTTACCTACTGCAAGTAACATAAAATCCGGTGAACATGAAAAAAATAAAAATAACAACTGGTACATATTTAATAGTATTCTTACTATTAACAGGTCTTACTTCATTCAAATTCTTGTTTATTTGTTAAGAATACTTGCTTATGTAATTACTTTTACTCGACTGTAGATACGGGTGTAAGAGAAATCTTTCTCGGCTCTCGCAAAGACCACATCGGTTTCTGAATTGAGTATACATAAAAAGTATACTTAAACGTCAATTAGATAGGTTTTCGTTACTGATTTTAGTTTTTTAATGATCAGTTTGCTAAAAATAATATAATAGCGATGACAAAAGGACAGCGTAGTCGTATGCCACAATTGTTTGTTTTGTTATGTTCAATGGATAAATTTACTGTATTAAATTTTTTTACAGTGTTATTTAGCTGTAGTGAGTGTATATATTTGAAATGTGCTTATTAAGCCTTTTCATTTGATACCCTATATGAATTGAATACAGTGGCGTAACTACAGGATCGGCAAGTCGGCAAAATGCCACGGGCCCCCAGCTGGAAGGGGCCCCCGGTCAGAAGAGACTCCTTACTCCTGCCATTTATTATTATTTATTACACAATTAGTAAAAAATTCGATGAATTTGCCACGAGCCTCAAACGGTATAGTTACGACACTGATTGAATAACATCTTTTTTTTAGTTTCTTTATGCTTTCTAGAGGGCGCTGATGCTAATTGAATGTAACGTATCATAACACGTATGTCGGCGGGTAGTCCGAATGGGCTATTACGAAGCCCAAATAGATCGTCCATATCGGACTAAATAACTAAATCTAACTATCTTCGTAAAGATGATGCGACACGTATTATAACGTATATAGCCTATAGCATGCGAACAAGTTAGACGCTTCTAATGATAGTACCTCATTTGTCCAGTTACGATATGTAGTTTCGAAGTTATAAGGAAACAGAAGAACAATTTTACATAATACATACCGGCCAAAATCATAATCTTCCTTTTCGCTTCGCCGTAGTCGGGTAAAAACTTTTTACTTGGACTTTTAGCTTGTGAAAAATAAAAAACTTTAGTTATTGAGAATGATCGGTTGAGATTTTGCACTTTTTCAATTCAGAAACCGGCCTTTAGTGGTAGATATATATGCCATTAATAATAAGAACAGATGCCAATCTGTCGAGATATTCCAGTGTTGGGGAACTACTACATTTAAGCCTTTGGCGTTTCCATTATTTCCACGTCTCTTCTGCTCTCGGAACTTGGAGTGGTGATGAATAAGATGGCCCACTGTTTTTTAAAACCTCGAGTACTAGAGCTACTATAAACAAAAGTTCAGTACGATATTTGATTTATTTATAGGTCATATGTTTTTACTGGGTCAGTCGATTCCCTTATCCAGGCTTGTATCACTTTCTTTGGCTTCATTCGACGTGTTTGCATATATAGCTGACCTGCTTCTCAACCTCAAATACCTATGGTCATAACTATATACCTACAATAAGGGACCACTGTGAAAAAGAAAACTGAAATATAGGAAAAGTGCCGTCATAGTTGTTTAAAAAATAAACTTCCGTATATATCAGATTTCTAGAAAAAGAAGATCTATGACAAATATACTTGACCATGTAGAATGTTAACAACTCAGATAAAAAAGAAGATAATAATGCCAAATGTCAATATTAAAAAATAGAAGATCAAATATGGAAATTCTCAGTGTCAAATAAGTAAAATTCAATAAAAAAAGGAATCAAAATACTCCCAAATGCATCAGCTTTAATATTATTGGACAAACCAAACACATTCCCCTGTGTATTATGGGTATGTGACTTATTTATAAATATTACAATAGTAGTCAATAGGCTAAACCCAGTAGACATCGTTCTTGACAGCTTTGTACAAAGAAGCCTATTGTAGAAAGAACATGGAGAAGCCAGCCTCATAAAATATAAACTGCCATTCATATTAACGTGTAAACTTGAACATTAATATACAAAAGTTCAATAGCAATACGCTTATCTTATTGAAAAATTTGACAGGCATTGAACTTTTGTACAAAGTTGTGGGCACAGTCACTGAAAATCTAACGAATTTCCTATAGCCAACCGGTGTTTGCGAAAACATTAACTTTGAGTATCTTTTCTTTAGTGTAAATTGTGAAGCTGGAGGAAGATCTGGTTACAACATCTTAATTACCAATATATCATGAGCAAGTATAGTGAGTACTGAATAGTTAAAACACGCTAAGACACAATAACAACACATTACACTTCCATCGCGTTTTTTATAATTCCCGTAGCCCTGCTTTGGTGAATGAGTGTTACCATATATTTTTTATACAGGTGAGTATAATTTATGATTTATTTTGTTAGATGAATGGCAGTTGTATTTTAGTAGTTGGCTTCAACGCTGTTTTTTTATGTATTGAATATAATTTCTTTGATTTCAGATTGAACATTAAGAATGGCGCCTTCCATACACCCCCCGTGCACACCATCGGCGTCTTGCGTCCCTGTACGATGCCATCCTTCAATACCGCCGTGTAAAAATCCTGAAAAATGTCTAAAAAAAACTATTTCGAAAGGCGTAAGACCATGCCAGAGTGCCGTATCCATTATGGCGACGAGATCCAAGACCAAATGTAGCAGCTGCGGTAAATTTAAAGGGGCTGCTAATCCGAGAAGCGTTCCATCTGTTCAAAAATTCTTGAAACGCAAATCCAAAGAATCAAAAATGAGGAAACAGGACAGGTTAACAGGAAGCAATAGTTATACAAAATATAAGAGAAGGCAGGGCAAGCGTCGTTCATCGACAGATTGCTGTGCTGGTAAAGGACATCGAGGACGTTTAAAAAAGAGCAAATGTGAAATATTGTAATCAAAACTGATGAAATCTATTACTAGATATTGCGGTCTTGGACGAAACAAATTAACATAATACAACACGGATAATGTGTTGTCTGTAACTGGCTACTTCGTCCAGTCCTATTGAAGCAGTCGGTAGAGGGGAACAGAAGCTAATTATTGGAGCACTCAAATATCTACATGTGACGAAGGAAACTTCGAATAGAACGAGGTTACACAAAATATACGATATTGTGATTTGTTACCAGTCATAAAAATACATCTTGCATCCCTTTAAGACTTATTATTTTACAGTTTTTAGGTTAATTTTCTAAAAGAAAATACCAACAATTATATATATTAAAAAAAAACACTAACTTCAATTTTACGCCCAAGTATTTTTTTTCTTTGCCGATGTACTAATAATTTGCAACACTGACAACTACACAATAACATATTACTAAAATTATCCTAAACTAGAGGGTTATTTATATTGTTCTAAATTTGTTTCATGTTGCAGCTGTATATTCCACAAAAGGTATAAAGCCGTGCGTATCCGCGCCAACATGCAGCGCGCACAGACACAGGCCGCGGCCGGCTCCTTGCCCGGACCCTGATAAATGTTACAAGAAGTGCATTAAGAAAAAGAGTAAGTGTCCGAGTGCAATGGAAACCATCACAAGACCTGGCTCGCCTTGCGATTGCGCTAGAGTACAATCTAAAGATTCTAGGGTTACAAAGAAACGAGGCTTTAAAACTCACAGAAAACGATTACGCAAGGCTTATAAAAGAAATTCAATGGAATCTCGATGGCGCAAGAGAAGAAAATGCTGTGTTATTTTATAGATTTCTTTTATCAGATAACTCGCAAGGTGTTACATCGATCGTCTACAGTTAATATTCTGTCCATAACCGCCAACTGGAATATTTTCTTAACAAACGATACAGTAAATCATTTCTTCGTAACTAACATTTTTTTATTCGAGTCCATGGTATAATGTCGAAAGAGACAAACAAGTGCCTAATATGTAATAGAATCATCAAGATAAAATTGCCCAGAATGCAAAACGTCCGTTGCTCTAAATGTATCCATAACTTAGAAAGTCCATTTTCCATATCAGAATATTTCTACTATATTATTTAAACATCTTAAGTTATAAATAATATATGTTTCAAACTTTATTTAACACTTATTCCTTTATTACGTCGATGGCAATAATACCTATACCTATTAACATTGTTTACTAACAGAAATACTTTATTATGTATTGCCCCTGAGGGCAACACTTTACAGTAAATAGATACTAACTGCAAATGTAATGATTTTATTTTCAACTGCTAGTTAAGGTGATTCCATAATACATAGCTCTTGATATCGGTTAAAAATTATTGACACTCAATTACGATTAAGACGAAGATCTGCTTTCAGAAAAAACTTATAGAAAAAAAGGAAATATTTCCACATTAGTATCTTCTTACCCTATTCTCGGTCTATGTGGGTCGGATGTAAAGTTTCTACTCCGGCTGGAAAAAATCGTATATTCAGACATCTTTTCTGTGGTCGCACTCTTGCTTTCTATCCAGCGATATTCATCTCAATCACTGTCTAATTGACATTCGTTTAATTCCTTCTCATAATATGTCCGTATCAGGCCAGACGTTTTCCTTTCAGTAATTCTGTCACTAATGCCACTTTGAAACTCCCGTCTTACATACACCTTCCTTACTTTATCCATTCTCGTTACTCCACACATCCATTTCAACATTCTCGTCTCTGCTATATGTAATTTTCTCTCATTCATCTTCACCACCCAACATTATGATCTATACATTACGACAAGTCTTAATATAGCCTTCTGATAATGCATCCGTAGGTCACAAGTTGTTCCTGTAAACTGTCTCCACTTTACTCATCCTACGTTTCAATTTCCTGGTCGTCAATTGCCCTTATCGCCGTATTTTACACCCATATGATCGTTCAGTTTCGTAGTATGATTTTGCATTGCTGCCAAAGCTGCATGAGGCAGCTACTGCAGCATTTAGTAAGACGGATTCACAGTCCTGCGGTCGGAATTCAGATTGGTAGGAGTGGGAATATTTAGAGGTGAAAAATTTTGTGCACGGGGTCGTAATAAATAGATTCGGCGAGTTTTGCAGTAAGGTGAGCAACGAAATTTGGACGCTAACGCACCTAGCACTCGGCGACTGCAATAATGTTTTCGCTACGATCACGCCGCCGCCGAAAATGTTCAATCAATTGAGATTAAATATGATATGAATTGAAAAGGGCTGCCTGAAAGTTTTCTTTCTGTTTTCACTGTTCTAAATGCAGCCTAAGTTCAGAAAAATCTAAAATCTAACGCCGAGCGTCGTACGATTATCGTCCTTTTTATGTACTCTATCTCTCATTAGGTATCTACTCGGTTCGTGGTCATAGCCAAATACCTTCTATATTATTTCTAGATTTAAAAGGTGAAATAATGAAAAGCATATATACACTGCAGACTATATTTTCCATCATCACCTCACATAATATACATGTTGTTCACACTGAATATAACAGCAAAAACAATATGATTTAGACTTTGGTTTGTTTATTAAATTATAAATAAAAATCTTTCATCTGAACACACCCAAAATACATAAAATAAGTAAGTTCACAATAAATTAATTTGGTCCCAAAATAAATATTAACATAATTTAAAAGGAAAGTAAAATAATAAATCAACAATATCAAACAATTACTGTTCAATTTTGGCAATGGTTAATGGACTCTACTTATATTTATTATTAAATCTTAATCGAAATAAATATTTTAAATATACATACAGTCACACGGCATTTCAAACATTCTTCGGTAGTCCCATTCAGTCTAAATTTGAGACTTATTTACATGACATCTGGCTAAGAAATAAACCAAACATACATAACTACACAGACAGCAGTAACTCTGGATATAACATATTAAAGTCACTTAAAGAGAAACTACTAAAAAGTTACTAAAATATCAAAACTCACACAGATCGATGCTACTCAAAGATAAAAATGTATATTGGAATGTATAAAAAAAATGAAAACTTGCCATATCATCACAAACCATATATGAATAATAGTTGCCTCAATAAGATGTACTGCGACTCGGGTGAGATGGATAGGTAGCGGTACTCTTACATGGAATGAGATCACATACTTCACGAAACTTTACTATTTTTATAATTTTAAATACTAAGATTGGCAACATTTAATATGTCACCATATTCATAAGTACATTTTGTGCAATACATATTGAAATTAAATGCCAAAGTAACCAAAATCAATTCGCATTGTTTTATGATTACGAAATCTAAAATAAGTTAAATGTATAGTAATACATAGTCTGACATAATAATAGGTACGTGACATGACAATTTTATCTTAATTACCTTATAATTATATATGAAAATTTCTAAGAAAGGTGTCGAAGTATTGATGATTTCCAAACAGTTTACAATTCATCTTATGACTAGATTAAGTCAGTATTTTCCCTATAGTCCATTCATTCCGAACTTGAAGGAAATCTGTCACAATTAATACAAAACGTAGGAACAACGAAGAATTTCATTAATACAATCAACGCAATATCAGTTTCAGATTAAATACAATAATGGGTTAGATTAATTAGACAGTCTAAATTTTATTTTTTCTAATTGTCCTGTTGCTTAATCACTTACACCTAATTTCGATTAACATTAGATTCGTTTCTTCGTTCGAAGCAGCACTAACGTTTCTAAATTCTAAGCTATAGGTCAGATGGCACTCCAAACGCTATCGGACACAGCTAATTATAATCATCACCCTCATCAATCAGGCTCAGTCACCGGAACTCGACGAACACTTAATAAATAATATTGACAAAAGAATTTACTAATTAAACAAATACAAACCCATAGATAGTTCAAGAATTCTACTGAATGACAGCAATTCACACAAACTACATAAAACAGAATCAAGATTATAAACGCGAATGGTTGTAGATAAAATGAGTTGGAAATTATAAAGAACAAAATAAAGAAGGCGAAGAGATCATCGTGAAAAAAGAGAAAATTACAGTCAAGTAGTAGCAATATAGTTATATAGCGGGTTTGCGTGTCTATTTCTTTTGGCGTCAATATTACCTAGATAGATGAATATTACGGTCGAAAAACATATTTGATTAATTTAAACTAAAAATAAATTAAAATTGCTATACTGTAATTTACATTTTACACTTCGATCCAAAATACTCTTTTTGACGAGCTTAGTCTATTTTAGTTCACATTTTCCGAGCGGCAGCGGAGCGAGCGGAAAGCAAATATCTGCATACCAACTTTTCAAATTTTATACTAAAAATTAGCTATTTGAAGAGAATGTTTACATTATTTTTAATTAATATACAATTATTAACTGTGCATAATAGTTTAATCTCTATTGAAGGTTAAAGATCTTCCGCTGCCGCTTTATCTACGCGCATATACTCTGCCAAAGTAAATGAGCTCCTGTGAACTGACCCTGAGTGCGATGAGAGGGTGTACGCGGATGAGTCGCGGCGTCTACTTCTTCTTGGCTTTCTTCTCTGCCTTCTTGATGGCTTTGAGATGCTTTTCGTGAGCGCTGCGCAATTCTTTGAGTCGGCGCTTCATTCGTCGGCGGTCATCACTACCAAGACCTAATAGTTTCAGATCCGCAGAGCTGAGCGCTAGTAGAAGTGCACCGTCAATGCCGCGCGCGGCAAACGCAGCTGCGTGCCGTTCTAAACCTTCGCCCAAACCCGAAACCCATTGCCATACCTGCCAAATGGCGCTCAGTTATTAACAATTCACAAAGAAATAGCTTTGGATGTGAAATTTTGGTTATTTGACACTTTCATGTATAATTATCGCTGTAAACCAAGAGTTTGAAGGTTTTATTCTCGAGGGGTAAATGTACTATTCTGAATATTATCTTGGTCTAGGTGAAGGGAATAATAAAAGCACTTAATAAAGGTGAAGTATTGTACGTAATGATATATTTGATTCCATTAAGTTTTCTTAATCCTTTTATAAATACAACAACATTTGTTTACATATTCAATTGACTTTTTTAAATAAACAAACATTTAGAAACGGCAATAATATCATGAAAGCGAGGTATAGTCAATAGCAAGTCAGGTTATACTAATCTGTCAAACTCCACGTGCATAACTATGCACTACAGGATCATCCGTTACTTTATATCTCTAATGGCTGGTTTACACGTATTAAGTTGCTAAGACTAGCTCGGTGGTGTAGTAGACAAGCACCGTGGCCCGTGATTGTTGTCGTTAAGCAACTTTCGAAATGTTCGGTCACGGGATGTGTGATCAAATATTATTATCTCGAGCTACTCCGTGCTTCGGAAAGCACGCTAAACCGTTGGTTCCTGTTGCATTTGCAGTGGTTAATACCCTCCAATCCGAATTCTGTCCGTAATCCGTCATAGCCTATCTAATCTGTGGCGTGATCCTCAACTACCTAAGGAAATCCAAACTCCTTGCAGTGGGAACGGAAAAGGGCTGATGATGAAGTTGCTAAGGGGGCGTCCATAAATTACGTGAGATGTTTAAGGGGGGGAGGGGGTCGAGGCAAATCTCATCTATTCTTACGTTGGAGAGAGAGGGGCTCTCGGCAAATATCACGCATTTTTTTTTCTGATTGAAACAAAAAAATATACTATTTTGGTCCATTTCATCCAGATAGTACATGCTTAAGATTTAATCTTAAACGTAATCGTATACGATTAAGATCATTCACTAATTCGTTCAAAAGAAAATAATTTAATTCATACTTCGACGCTATACATCTACTGAATGTCAAACTACCATATTTGTAGGGCTCGGACGATACTTTCGATACCGAGTACGTATCGACACTTTCAAAAGCGATACTCGATACTGAGCGATACTCGGTACTCGATACTACAATAAGGCAAATACTCGCAAGTACTCATCAAATTGCATTTTGAAAAATCTCACGTGAGATTGGGGCATGGGGGAGGGGGTTGAATAAAATCTCACGACATCTCACCAGGGGGGGAGTGAGGGACAGAAAATTTAAAAAAACACCTCACGTAATTTATGGACGCCCCCTAAGTAGTTAATTTAATTTAAGCACGTGCAAACACATAATTCGAGTTACACACTGCAATGGGGGGAGGGAGGGAGGGGTCGGGGGATTTGAGCGGGAGAGCACTGCTTGCACCCGGGCGTCTGTTGTGCTTAAGAAGGGCCTGTAAATACTAATCAACTTAATACGTGTAAACCAGCCACTACTGACGCTAGATAATAATTAGTGACTGAGTCACCTGTTGTTTAGTCCACTGGTTGACCGGCATCGGGGAGTACTGTCCCGAGTGCGTGGGCGCCAGACTAGTCTCGGACACGGCCGTAGAGAGCGGCTGCCACGGCACCTCGCCGCCGACTACACAAGTCGGAGCTTTCTTCACTACAACCACATCCGCTCAATAAGATCACGCTAACTACTATCGCCTCAATAACGACGTTTTCACCGAGATTACATCTCTTTCACGTTTACTACAACGCGTTTATATGTGTCCTAAGCCAGGGGTCGAAAATCTTCGGCTCTCAAGTATATTTACAAACAAAAAACATATTGGAAACCCTCCAAACAGTGTAATCAATACATAGTTGAGTGATACCCGTATGATACGATTGAGATATACTGACTATGAATGAGAGATAAATATCCAGAGTTACCTATACTAATATTATAAAGAGGAAATATTTTATTGTTTGTTTGTATTCATTACGCACCGAATACTAGACTGATTAAAAAAATGTACCCTGCAGATTTTTATTAATTTGTTTTATATAAAATGAACAAAATAATTTAACAAAATTTATTACAAGTAACTCGGTCAATAATACAACTATGTACCGCCTCGCATACTAAAACAATAATCAAATACGGCACCATACACTGTAGCAGTGTAATCAAGGAACATAATACCACAGAGTATATTCAGTGATACTACTCAAAGCGACAACTGAGCTCCAGAACTGGCTAAGTATTTAGTCGCATTATTAATTTTATTTTTCTTAATTAAATATATGTATAATTATATACGTTGATTATAAGGAACCGGACAGCGATTAGATATAAAAAATGTTGTAAAGTAAAAATTCATAAATGTCCTTTTACCATAATTTCAGGGACCCGCATTTTAGGTTTTAAAAAGTTTTGTTGTAAATAGATACTCAATATCCATATAAAACACCCAGGGAAAATAGATTGAGAGAAACCTCATGTTCATGCACAAAGCTTTATAATCGAGAACACGATCCACAACACCCAGATGGTTTTCAATTAGTGTTAAAATATTTGGTAAAAAAATTGTAATATTTCACTCCTCCATGTATGCGCTGTCTTAGAACATCGAATATTTGGTCAAACGTTTCTAATGATGGCGTGTGGGTTGGCTCAGAAACAAAATTTTGTTAATTTATTGATTATTAATTTTATACAAAATGACATTTACAACATGAAAATATGATATTCCAACAGATACATTTATTCCGATAGTTATTTTGCAGTTTTAATACGTACCGTAGTATCGTAACAAGTCCGAACGTTAGCGCCGACGCAAATAAACTAAAACAATATAAGACCTCACTTTGAAGGGAGTCGTTATTTCTTCGGGCGTTTTTGAAACCGACCGGGTTGAATCTAGTTGTATTGTTGATCGAAGACGGGAAGCTATCATCCTCATACGCGGGTGAAATCATGGGAAAATAACTATTTATAAATATAATATGAATAATATTGAAAATAAATCTTTCAGTATCTGTTTAAAAACTATGATATTTTGTTTTCTTTTCCCTTTTGACTCTTCCGTCTCATAAGGTTTTCGACCCCTGTCTTAAGGCCACATGTCGTGACACAATTGATTACTTCCGTGGTCGTGTGTCTCGCCACCGGTAGTTTTAAAATAAATCGCCATTGAAGATCCCGCGTTCGATTCCTGGTTTAATCAATGTAGACATTGAACCTTCTTATATAAAAAGCTTAGCTAAAAAGAGGAGTAAAATAGGTTTTAATGTGCACTGTAAAGAAAATATGAAAGACCATCACCAAATTTTCTACATAAAATTTACTGAAAACCAAAACCCACAAAAAAAGAAAGAAAGCGAATTTCATCACATTAAGCAATTAATTGTTTCTTTTTACACAGTATATTTAATATAATGTTAAAGTAAAACACAAATAATTTTCCTGCTGATGTTTCTGTAATAAAAGATAAAAGGGTCGAAGTGTGGCTATTATTGGTCAATCAGCATAATTTAAGGAGCGCGCCTCCTCTGAGCGTGACTAAAGGTCATTTATAAACTTACAAGGTACACCTCAAACAGGGCGATATATTTGCAATTTAAATTTGAGCTTTAAATCATTATCATCTATTTCATGACATTCAGATAAAAAAAGCCAGTGGCAGCTTCAAGTTTTTTTATTGGTGTAATGAAATGTGTGAATAATAATGAAATGTTACATAATATTTAATGATCAAATTTAAATGACAAGCCAATTATTGCTGAGTTTGTTGCTGTGCCGTTTAGGTATGCTAAGACCCTAAGGCGGAAGACTAGTGAGTTGTAATAATACCTTACGAATTTTTATAAATATTATTGTAACATTCAGATTTTCATCGACATTGTTAGGCTTCATAGGCACAAACGAAGATTCAGGACGCCATAATAGTTTATAGTAGACGGTACGATTTTCTGTATAATTAAACTACAAAAATGGGTACTCACTTTTCGAAATGTTTAAAAAACAGTTTAGTTTAATTGGTAACGCTTACTTGTTAGATCGATCAAAGTAAATAAATATACTGTGCAAAAATCAAAATGCTAATGTGTAACCAGCCACAGGAAAAGTGAAAAAAAACGAATATTATTAATTAAAAACGTAAATAAAGATGAATATAATGCAGTTTACCCATGATCCCATAACAGTACGATTTGACAGTGATACTGTGCTTTAAAAAAAAACTCTTGAACCGCGATAATATTAGCGCAGTGCAATGGCAAAGTCATAAACTATAAAACAAAGTTTATTTCTTTTTCTTTCACTAAATATTCATTCGAATATATTGTTTTTGGATCTTAGAAATATAGCAATTTTAGTGTTGATTTACCGCAAGTTTAATGAAGAGTCAAATGTAGCCGGAATTTCTTGTATTAATTGTTTAGATTCTGTACTCTGAACACGTTGCGAGTCAGCGTTGATCTGTGCTGATCCTGGGAGCAGCGTCTTACCTCTTGCGTTGGCTTCGCTGACCGCCTGCCGTATCTCGTCGACTAGCTCGTTGGTGAGTTGCACGGGGTCGGGGCGGTGAGCGGGCGCGTGCGCGTGCGGCAGCGAGTGCGACGCGACGTGCGACACGACGTGCGGCGCGTCGTTAGTACCGAGACGTCGCTCACGCTCCGCCAACACTTGCTTCAGTTGCTCAGCCAATGAAGCCGGCGGACCTATCGACCGCGCGAACCCTTACACACCCAACTCCCAACCTAATAATCTTTTTAAACTGCTAGCTGATTACGATCTCCATCCCGCCTCCCTTCCATTACGATCACCATTTTTCATCGCTGACCTAATTTTATTGGCGCACATCATGGCGATTGTAATAACCTAACAAATCGAACGTTATCAACTTATTTCATTTTTTTTAGTAAATTATACTGCAATTTCAGACAGAGACAAAACCTTTGGTCCGTTCTTGACTTAGAAAACTAACGCGATTTTTCGACGCTGCTCTTCGTGTTTTCGACTTTCGTGTCTAGCTTGTTATATATGCATGCTATTGCATTAAATCATTAGGCATGAAAACATATCACTAGCTTTCTTAATGACCCTCCCTGTCTACATAATACAAAATTATAGACTTTAATATAGAATTAATTAGTAATATAATAAAATCCATATTAAATGATTAAGACAATATTTTGTTCGGGAAGCATTAGTCACAATTTGTAAACTGGGACAACAAAGCTGGGGGTCAATCACAATGTCACATTGACCGGTGTCCGTATGTCTATGATGCACATGCCCGGTGTGTTTATGGGGACGTATTCTCACTCTCACGTGTTATGGTGTATAAGCTTGCAAACGTGGGACAATGTATATTGTGATGCACTAGTCTGTCTTGTACGTACCTGACAACGGATGATGCCTGTGGTCGCGCGAATATATTCCATCGTCTGTCGCACTACCGATAGAACTTCCGCAACTTTGCCGTGTGTCACGCTAAAATGGATAAAACATTTTTTTAATAAGATAAAATGTATAAGCTTACAAATCGTATGTTCTTTAATACAGTTAAAATAATCAAGTCTTAAATGTTCATTTAGCGTTGGAGCTACTGCGTAAGATTGTGTCCCTTTAATTGATTTCACTCAATATATAAACTTCGTTTAGTTTGGCGGTGTGAATAATTTACAGAGAGGACAAAATGTTAAAACAAGAGTAGAGTATGTAGTTCAAATCGCACGAATATACTATAATTGTGAAAGAAATAAGCATTTCAACACAGATAATATAGTTTTCGACTAGCACAATTTGTTGAATAATTCATAAAGTCTATAAAATAAAAACATGGACTTATGTATGTACATACCGTTGAATGACCAGTATTAGGAGGAGCGCCAGATGTGGATTCGCTTAGTGACTCATCAGCAGAGTCATTATACGAATCATCAAGGCCGTCGTACTGTAAGTCAAATATAAATCTTATAAATTAAACAATTAAATCAGTATACCTAGCTTGTAAAAATATTTAAAATATTTCTATCAATCATCTAAATGTGCATTTTTAACTAGACGGAGTATACTGACATATCAAATATTGCTTCTTTTTTTTACAAAATGCAATCAAAGTTATGTTTGCCGTTTCTAGATTTTTTGCTTAATGAGGAAGTATCAGTTTCTTAATATGTAAGTTCAAAAGGAACAGAAATTACTGTCTTTGGTCCATTCGTGTCCTGCAAAAATCAACTTTTGCTAGAGTCGCCATCTAGTGGAGGTACTTTCTTTTTATTTTTAATATTAATGATACATACTTAATTATATTAAATACTGAGATATACTGAGCGAACGTGTGATAGTAGACGAGTGATACTCACGGAGCTAGCGTTGCTGAGCGAGTGCGGCGAGTGTGGTGTGGAGTGCGGGGCGTGGGGGCGGTGCCGCGCCAGATCGGTGCGCGCGCGGTGCGCGGACGTGTCCAGCAACGCGCCGCGCGGTACCGCCGCGTCCAACTCGCGCGACGCACCGCCGCTACCGCCGCCGCCGCCCGAACCGCTACCGCTTGTCGTTGACGTTGACGTTCTAAAACGAGTTACATTAACTGAGACTTGACAGTAACCGTTTATTTGATAATAATACTTTATTGAATTTAAGTGGTATTCACTCAAATTAGGTGGTCCTGTATGGCAGAACTTGATTGAGTTAAAAATAGTATCATCATGACCCAATAAAAGTTAAAATTGCCTAGTGTTCCCAACACAACTGGTGGGTATCTAATCACACAACATTCATACTCTATATAAAATATTACAGCATTAACTTTAATACAAAAAAAAAGGATTTATAATTATGTATAATTAACTTTAATAAATTACAATACTAAAAACTAATGCTCCTCCTTTCTATTATTGTTATGCCCGACAGGGGCACAGTGAGACTAGCTAAATTATGTAACATTATTTTAAATTACCTATGGAAATAATAAACATAAGTTTATTTATGAGTACCAAAGTAGATAAAGTAAAAAGTCCCTGCTTTTCGATATATCCGTAGAATATAAATTCCATTGACCTTCAAAACATATAGGTAATATAAGTAACCATAAATTCTACTTACAATCGTTCAGAGACGTTAGTGGTGGCTACAGTCGCTGCTATAGTTGACGTCGTAGTCATAGACTGTGTAGCGTCAGGAGCCACCGTAGCGGTTGTAGATGCTGCAGGCGGGATGTTTGACGATGACGTCACGTTGACTACGCTGGCGGTAGGTTTGACGTCACTTGCCGTAGTAGCGGTCACGTCACCGAGGTCTGGCGGTTCGCGCCGGTTCGCAGACTTGTCCACCTTCGCGTACTCGTCCTCCACGGGAGACAGGTCGGATAGGTCGCTGTCAGAGCTCCATGGATCTGTAAACCAACAAAACATAATATGTACGTTTTTTGTCATCTTTCTTTTGTGATATCGTCGGGAATTATAACACTATATAAAATTAGCTCTCAATTATAGAAGTACTGGATAAGGCATACCATTAATTAATAACGGATCGGGATCTGGCCGTCGTGGAAGAGGCGGTGTTTCTCTTCGTGCTGAGGGTTCATGCGGCAACATAACAGGCAGGCCTGCTTTTTTCTGAGTTTCCTGAAACAACAAATAACTCAATAAATTTTAATCATAGTAAAGATGGTAATATTTGAGTATTCTATCACAAATAATAAATAAGTAGTATTTCTAATTACTCCTACACATAGTACTATACGCACCAGTAGCAGCACCTCTAGTCGGGCGACGCGGTCGTGTAGCGCGGCGAGCGCGGCGGCGTACTCGCGATGTGCGTCCCGTAGCGCGCCGCTCCACCACTCCTCGCGCGCGCGCACTAAAGCACGAGTGCGACGCCACTCCCGAAGCGCACGTCGCGCCTGCATACAAAAATGTGCAAACAATAAAATAAAACATATGGGATTTAATACAAAACCAACTACAGTGTGTTGAATTAAGTAGTGGGATGTTGATCGAAACGCCGATTTAGTTTTACGGAATAAAAGAAAAAAAAACTGATTTTGATATTTGAAAGTAGTAAAAAAAAAAATTACAAAAATTCTGTTACCAAGATATACTAAGTTACAAGTAATTTTGCGAATGGTGAATCTTCATTACACAGAGCAAGATCTACCAATGCCAATGATGGTCGAAACTACGATTCAAATATATATTGAGCCTTGTGTCTACATCTATAAGGTGTAAAATAGAACGTCCGATGACGCGACACTTGAATTGTTCAGACTAGCTGATATTCGCTGCGTTTCGAAATTTAAAACTAATGATAATGACAAAATACTAAATAGTAAATACACTGACCTTGTCGTATTTCCGCTGCGCCCTGTGCGCCGTGTCCGCGGCGTGTGAGAGCGCGTGCCTAAGAGGTTCATCGGGTGCGCGCTGCTGACACCACTCGCGTAGACGAGCGCTAATCTCCGCGCTACTACCGCCTCCGTTCTCCATACCCACCAGCTGTTCATATAACAAATTATAACATTAGTAAGGAGTCCCAATAACGAAATTTAATTTACAATGTACAGTCAACTCAACAGCACGTCAGGTTATACATTGTCATCATCAGCCCTTTTTACGTCCTCACTGCAGGGCCTTCCTTATTTTTTTGGTCGCCCATCCCGTGATCGAGCCATGCGAAAATTGCTTAACGACAACGATCGCGAGCTACGGCGCTTATCCACTACGCCACCGAGCTAGTTTTACGATATTTACTCATCATTAGCCTTTATATGTTCCCACTGCAGGGGCTCACACCATCCTTATGGATGGTTAAGAAGGATGGATTATGACCCACCACGTGGGCCCAATGCGGAGTGGAGGGTATTAACGACTGCAAATGCAACCGGGACCAAACGAATTAACGTGTCTTTCGAAACTCGAGATAATCATTTTTTGGTCACCCATACCGTGACCGACCCTGCGATAGTTGTTTAACAACAACGATCGCAAGACTACGGCGCTTACCACTACGCTACCGATTATTACCTTAATATTTTGCGGATAGAGTTTAAAAACAACCAGAGGAATTTGACAAAACTGACGTGCAGCCATGCTTAAGTACAAAAACAATTATACCAACAGAGCCGTTTGTAACTAAATGAACTTTGAAAATCTACAAATGCTCAAATTGCAGGTACGATAAAATTTTAAAAATATAACTAGACTTTAATACTATAGAAAGTAACGAGGCTTTTAAAAAGCAATGACTTTACTACTAATCACTACTCATTATTTAACGAAAGACCAAGTGCTTAATATCTCAAATGAATTGTAACAATAAAAATTTTATAAAAAAAATTATCTAAAACTCCCTGGTAAAAAAAGAACTACTAAAATAAAATCTAGTATTGCATCCATTTATATAAATATTAAATTTGCTCTTCGGTTCAAATGGTTGGGTACCTCTTGCACAGGACAGTGTTCAAAATTTTGCAGTCAAAATACTAAGGTATTCTAAGATAGGTAGGTCGCCATTGAAGACAAACGACCCAAATATATATATATATATTTTATAATTTCACCTCGTGTAGGAAAGACCGCAGCTCGTTAATTTCTGGGTTTCGCGTTTGCACTGACGGTTCAGCGGGCGCGTGCTGAGCGGGTTCCTCTTCTTCAGATTGTTGCCGACGCTGTCTGTTCGCTCTATCAATCAATGTAATAAAATGATTATAGTAAGATCTGGTTTATATTATGGAACGAGACAACCATTTCTGTAGTGTTATATGCAAACTTATGAAAATTTTACGATATTAATTTACATCTCATCATTAGTCTGCTGATGGAAGTCTGAAATATGAATGATGTGTGATGCACATGACTTCCAATGAATGGCCAACGGTAGGTGGCGCCTTTACGTAATAAATTACCAGAAAATTGGCTCAACTGTTAACATTTCAGTAATAAGGCGATTTTGCAAATACAGCATTCTGAAAGTCATTTTAACGTCACAGTTATTTTTACCATCTTTAAATTCGAGAAAATCTCAAAAACATTTATCTCATACCTCTCTTCCCTCTCCTTATCGGCCGCTAACGACTGTCTTATGAGGTGTGCAACTTCACTGTTATCTGGATCTTTCTCGCGGCCAATGAGAAATTTAACAGGCCCTGAAGTATTACGCAACACTGAAGCCGCGTATGCCTGTGTTACTCCCACCTGTACAAATCAATAAAAATAAATTATATTTCTCTTCATTAGTAAAACATAACATTGAATATGACACGAGACTCCATATATAACAACCATTAACAAATATCATTTTCAAGATAATTGTATAGTTACACTAATCAAAAGCTAAGACTATTTAGTCTTCAATGACTATTACTGATTCTAAATTTCATATTTCATTATCTTCAATTATATTTCAACTAGTTATTATTTAGGTCTTATCGACAATGAGTATATGATGATGTAAACCTGGGTTTCTCAAACGTTTTCAAGCAACGAAACCCTTTTTCCTTTTTCCAAAAATTTTATAAGAATTCTATCTTCAGTTTATTGCTATTTATACAAAATACTTTTCAATTGGTTAAGACTTGACATAATTTTCTTATCAATATTTAACAAAATTTATACATATACAGAGACTTATATAGTCTTTTGAAAGTTGCAATAAGAACATACGTTAAGTCTTAAATCGATGCTTAAGGATCCATATCAAACATTTTGGGAATCCCTAGTGTAAGTATACTGTGCGCAAAGGTAAACTACTTACCAAACTCTTTCCGTCCACTTCTATGATCTGATCATTGACCTGTATTCGTCCGTCTCGCGCGGCCGCCCCGCTCTCTGTGATCGTCTTAACGAATATACCGAGCTTCTCTAAGCCCGCGTCCGCACCAACACCCATACCTGACCAAAGTAATATGTTGTGATCACACCCTTACTGTCTAATGTTTAAGTAGAACTTTAGACGTTAATTATTAGAGTAAAGACCGTTGATATGAACATTTCAAGGTGCATTTGCATGTTACGTCAGTCATTACAGAGTCGAGCGTAACGTTGGTGAAAGAAAGAAAAGAACAGACCATACAATGTACAACTTGAACACTTGATAAAACTCGTAACAAACTTGAAATGTTACATTAACGGTAAATGTTCTAGTCAGAGAGCTAGTACTAGTACTGTAACAACATGTTCATATTTGAATCTGAAATGTAATGTTGATTACAGTCAAAAAGTAATCCAAACAATGGTGTCTTTCGTACCATAGAGGAATGACGGATGAAAATTATGCAATTCATACGAGGGTCAAACTGAAAGTTCTTAGAAAATCAAAAACTGATTACATTAGCCAGTTATTAGTTTTATTATATCTTTTCAAAATATTGTCCATTCACGTCAATACACCGCTGCATGCGATGGAACCACTGGGAAAAGCACTTTGCCCACTCGTCCTTAGGGGTCTCTTCAATGGCATCGCGATACGCAGCCACCGCTTCTTCAGCATTCATAAACCGCTTTCCTTTAAGTTTTTCTTTAATTTTTGGAAATAAATAAAAATCACAAGGCGCGAGGTCGGGGCTATACGGCGGGTGACCCAGTAATTCAACGTTTGATGTCGCCAAATAGTCGATCGTTCGCTTGGCGGTGTGCGACGAGGCGTTGTCGTGGTGAAGGAGGATCCTACTGCGAGGTCGTTTCTCTCGAACTTTTTCCAAGACAAGTGGCAAACAATTGGTAGTGTACCATTCTGCAGAAACTGTTTTTTGATCCTCTAACACAATTGTTGCAAAATGACCTATCCTTCCAAAGAACGAGGCCACCATTTTTTTTCCCGCACTTCGATCTCTCTTCACTTTAGTTGGCAACTCCTCGAAAGGAAACACCCACTGAGCAGATTGTCTTTTGGTTTTAGGACCATAACAGTAAATCCAGCTTTCGTCACCTGTTAGTATGTCGAACACAGCATTTGAGTCACCTCCGTTAAATCTTTCAATCATTTTACGACACCAATCCACACGATGGAGTTTTTGAGCCTCAGTCAAATTATGAGGTATCCACCGGGCGCAAAGCTTCCTGACCGCTAAATGTTCGTGGAGGATTTTGTGCACTTGACTCATACCGATGCCTAAGCTTGTCCGAATCTGTTGATAGGTCACTCTTTTGTCAGTCTCTATCATACGCCGCACAACACAGATGTTATCTTCAGTCGTCGCCGTAGAAGGCCGTCCCTCACGTAAATCATCAGTGAGATTAGTGCGACCACGTTTAAACTCATTAAACCAGTTGTAAACAGTCGCACGAGATGGGGCTTCATCGTGAAAGGCCAATCGTAGTCTATCATAACTTTCTTGTTGACTTAAATGACATCGAAAGTCATAAAAAATCATTGCACGAACATTTTCTCGTGTTAAATTCATGATGACGTGACACAGACAATTTTCAATTTGCCGCCAAATCGTAAAACAAATGACAAATGAATGAAATATATACTCAGTAATATTGGCAAAGAGTTATATTTTCAAATTTTAGAATTATTTTTTTATTATATTGTTTATAAGTGGCCAGTTCTAAGAACTTTCAGTTTGACCCTCGTATATAACGCGCCCATATAACAGGCAGACGTTTTATTTTACATCAAACCACATACCGATTATGGACAATCCCAATCCGTCAGCGCCTTTGACTAGATCAACAGGAAACACGTGCATCTTCTCCACCCGTTTCTCCAGTTCATACTCAGCGGACGCTGCCACCGGGTCAACATCTTCGTTGCGACGATCGTACTCGCGGACTGAATGAGTTGAGAATACCCTCATTGGGTCACAGCTGCAAAAGAAAAATAATGAATCAATCATTGATTTATTAATATCTCGCTGCTAGTTAATGTCCAACTTCGGCAACTTTACAATGAAATGGGCAGTTTCAACTGAAACCTAATGAACAACACCTAGCTGAATAAATGAAACTGAATTTCATGGTATTTATTATATTGTGCGACTGTTATTCTAAATCAACATTGCTGCTGAGACATTCTCTGTGTACACGCGGCTGCACATAAGGTTACCATATTACGTCAAATTTCCCCAATTTAATTTCAACTCTACTCTTCTATGTGCTCTTAATATATTAAGGTTAAAATCAAGTGCAGATTTTTGATAGTTTTGTATAACCTGACGAGTCAAAAGAACTGTACATAAATATAGGTGAAATAGATTATCTATAATACAATGCCATATAACAGTAGCACTGTCATAATATTGAAACAATGCTTTTCGGTTTATAGGTTTATAAATATAATTATTTAAAAAAATGAAAACTGTATAAAATACTAACGTTCTTACCTGAACTTAACTTTACTACTCTTCTTTACAAATACTGGCGGGTAATAGTCGTCATCCTCATCTTCTTCTATTGGCGGCAGGCCGGCGACCTAAAATAAGATATAAAAAGCTAATGTAAAAACTATTTTACGAAGTCTTCAACATATAATATCACGATATTGGCCTTGTCTTCTGTGCTAGGAATTCTAGTTTTGTTCGAAAAATGTTAAAGGATTAGTAATTTTGGTTTTTATTAACCTCTGTATAGAAATGGCCGTCTTCAAAGTAATGTATGCCATTTTCTTCGCCAAGCTCCCGCAACTGCTGCGGGGGATATTGAGCGAACACTCCGCCCTCCCTCTCCGCGTCTCCCTCCACGGTTTCATCCCCGGCCTCCTCCTGCGGCTGCTTACGGTCGCCGCCCGCCATCCCCGCGTCTGCTTCCAACGACACGAATTCGTAGCTCTCGTCCACTGACTGCATACTGTTAACGATATTATATACGACATTAAAATATTCATTCATATTATGTAAATTTTTTATAGAGGAAATTTTAGTTCTCTTAAACCCAGTAACACAAACGTCCATTAAAGCTGTTATTAAGGTTCAATAATGACTTTAAGTCGTCATGAATGTTCTGAATTTGAAAATTTGCATAGGTAATGCTTTAAACTAATGACAATTTTAATGTGCAACTGGGTGTTTATGTACCTCAAGTGATGTGAAAATATCAATACAAAAATTTTAGATATGTGCTAAATACGAATTTTCGCGTTAAGAGAGCATCATCATTGTTCATTACCATAATATGTTTTATATGTCCCACATACGAATGTCTTATATGATTTTTAATTGGACTATGGCATATACGTGTACCGTTGACCATTTGCTTTATGACCTCTTCGCACCAGAGCCACATACAAACAAATACCCTTCTATAATTTACCTGCATTACGGATTTGATTCCATAAAATTTATTTTATCATATTATAAATAACATCCTGAAGACTGTTAGAATTGTTTTCTGAGATATGTCCTCGGAAACATCGTTAAGGTTTTCTCTATAAATTTACCTGTATTCCAATCAATTACAATTTCTGATTACAGAGACAACAGATTGGAGTAATATATTCAGCTAAATAAACGTTCATCATAGTTAAATTACGACTTAAAACATAAGTCAGTGTTTATAAATTTGCATAGACGGTGTAGCTTTAAGGAATTTATTATTATTATTATCTTCAATGGACTTTTGTGCAATTGGATAAATGTTAGATTTCATACACACCTCTCATAGGAGAGTACAGACTGGTAGCTGTCGTTGAGCGAGACTCCGTTGTCGTGCGGTAGAGTGTGCGGCGACAACATGGCGACAATCTCCTGCGCTTGCTCATCAGACAGCAGAGCTTCTTGTCTGCCGTACAATACGATTATTTTGTCTCTTTATGTTACCATAATTCGTGGTATGGTATATTAAAAGGAGTGTGGTCGTTTCATTACTTTTTTTGCTTAGACATGTGAAGCGGAGGGTACGGAAGGTATTCAAAAAACGTAAGCGAGGGGGGGGGCATTCAGGCCTTTTGCTGGCCCGGGCCTCCGATGAGGTTAGTCTGCCACTGGTGAAGGGGCATTCAAGTACTTACATTTGAAGACATTTTTCTACGTAAATGGTGGTTACGTCTGTAATACTTATAATATATGTTTTTTTTTTATTGTGTATATAAGAAAGTCTACGTAACCACATCAGATGTGATGAAGATAGTTTATCTTCACTGATAGGAGGAGAGGATGGTGATATAACGTCACAGTTGAGTTATTTTTATTCGCCGATAGATGGCAATCATGTTCCAATGTGCGTTTTTGATATATAAATCAATAAAAGTGAACATATTATTTTAATAGTATCATGATAACATGGTGTGGTGTGTTTACACCATGACGTGTAAACATTCAATGGTGTGGGTGAGTGAATAACAGTGATTTTTTAATTTATTGCTTCAAAAATGCTTGTGAACAAGTGGTAGTGTACAGCTTAACAATCAGGTGCAGTAAAACATTCGATTAAGAAAAAGAGAAAATCCAAGTACATTCTTAAGCGTAGTAACTGTTTCCAATATAATAAAAATAGATGAAACTACTACTACCTACATACTTTAATAAATAATGATTTATCAGCCACAACTATCTTACCTAAGTTTTTTCTCCAGAATACTGCAAATGTGATCAGATCAGGCAATAAGCGTTGTGCGGAGAGGCGGCATGCGAATAATGAAAAAAATAACACTTATAATGATATAAAGCATTCAAGAAAACATAAAAAGAGTTAAATATACATATGAAACATACGTATTAAAAACAAGTAATTATGTAAAGAAGAAACAGTGAGGAATAGAGCCATGCAACATTAATATAACTGCTAAAAACTACAATAAACAACACTAATATAAAAGACAATATAAATCTTATTTCGATGACTTTACCAATCTACTTGTTACTTTGAAATAAGCTGCCGCCTTACATTGTATTAAATTGGAGATATAGGGAAATCATCTACACCTGACGGCGTTCAGGTTGTAGCCTCAAGGTCAATTCATATAGCAATCCAAGTGAAGCTAATTTTTAAAATCACTTTGTACCTAATCGACATTCACATAACAATACCGCGTAAGTTAAATTTTACAAGATTTCAGTGAAGACACTGTAATAATATAATATATTAAGTAAATTTGTTACAATTATGATATTAAAAAAGTATATAATACCCAGCTAGCTTATATTCGAGTAATTTGCGATAGATCTACGTGGCACCAAAAATATTGTGCCACAGTAAAATTTAATAAAAACGCGGCGAAAAAATCTAACAATGAAGGTAAAAAAAAATAACTTATACGATATTGTTATAGAAGTCCTACTTCATGAAATTTTGGCGATGTACCTCGAGCTGAGCAATATCTCCGCCTCGTCTGGTGTCATACTGTCCGGCTGTTTACCGTCGGGATCGTCCCAACGCGGATCAGCGTCGGGAGCTCTCGCCTCTCCCGACGCGTTCTCCGCTTCAGATACGCTCCATTGGCTGGTAGTCGACTTATCGAGCACCTCGATGGAGCCTTGACTCGCTTCGCTCACCACTACCCCGGAGTCCTATTGTCAAAATTCATTATTTAATCCCTATTTATCCGTGAAAAAATATTGTATCAAATCCTATTAATATTATAAATGTGAAAGTTTCTTTGTTTGAATGTTTGTCCGTCAATCACGCTGAAACTACTGAACGGATTTTGATAAAATTTGGTATACATATAGGGTATTAGATGACGTAGAGAAACATTTCCCTAGGGTCCAACCGGGCGAAGCCGCTGGCGAAAGCTTCATTATAGTTCATTATATATTTCTTATATTTCGAAGTTCGCCCACCCCACTACTACACCCCAATTAACACTGATAAATCGTCACACCACATTGCTTGCGGGATAGAGAACCAAACACCACAAAAAATGGTTTTCACTTTAGTTTTTGACTTCCATGACATCCATACCTTTTATAGCGCTGTTTTTTATGGATTATACGCGATAAATTTGATCTTGAAATGTGTCTTGCCTTCGGTTTACCATCGATATGTTTATGTTTAATTTTAAAGAATAATATCAAAAATTAAATTGATTATTTTAAATTGATGATAATCTTGTTATAATAATTTGTTACTTTGGCTTAATGTTAGTTAAATAGTTATATCTACTAAGATATAATTAAAATTTAGTAGTTCATTATTCTTTTTTTTTTCTAAATTTTATATCAGTTTGTATTGCACATATTAGTATACACGCTTTGTTTCTAAGAATCGCTTTCGACACAAGTTTAAAATATGCAAAGCCTTTCAAAATTTATGTCATTAAAAATAATAGAGCCGACCCAGTTTCGCACGGGTACTAATTTAAACGAAGGAAGCTCATAGTCGACATGCTTTTTTTTAAATCTTCAACAATCATGATTGCTTCAACGATTTATACAAAAACTTAATCAATGATTGACCAAAACCTTGCTTTAAATATTCCGTCCATTAGTGAAATCCGTATGGAAATCCCCTAGGTAATTTTTGTGGTAATTGTATTTACTCAAAATCTGCGTGTTGGCCTCGTCGATATTAGTTTTATATTAAGCAAAAAAAAGAAGTAAAATATTATATTGCTTATAAAATAAATGTTTGATTGCGTACTGTATAATATGGCTTATGTTTATAGTGTAGTCAAGAGAAGTGAAGAAAGAATCTATTTATATATTTCACTGATCTGCATCTCCTGATAAGAACTGAACGCCACAAAATAGCGACAATTTCTAGACGGTTTTTACGACTTGTGGTATCACCATCCGCCCATATTTTGTCGTATCTTAGTCGCATTCTTCACTACTGATGGTCGTGCCCATCCTGAAATGTTTTGATACAGGAATTGACGAGCTGCTTCCACGCCAACGCTTCGGTTATAGTGAGCCCCACAACCGCTCACACAGAGGGGACCAGCGAGTCGATGATTGCACACGTGCTCTCTTTCCTAGCGCTCGCCTACCACGACCAGTTTATCTAGCTAGACTATCTGGTTCTTTCTGTTCTATCTGACCAAAGTAGCCAAGAGTCAGGTTTTAATGTTTAGCTAGTCAAGAATCGATTTATTTGTTCCACGTTATGTCGTATATCAATTTCAATATAACAAAACAGAAGTAAAACTCACCTGTTGTAAAACAGACAGCGTATCAGGATCGGATCGCGCTCGTTCATTGTCGCGATGGTCGCGTGTGAGCGGCGGCGGCGGCGGCGGCTCGCGGTAATCCGCTGGTCGCAAACGGGCCACCACCTCAGGCGAGGGCTCATTGAACCCACCCTCGTCCGACACGCTCGACGCGCGGGAACCGCTACGTCGCGTCGGCTCCTCTGTCTCCGATGACTTGCGACCTCCGCCCACTGCACAAATCGCATAAAATAGAAGCATGCTCTTATTACCATGTGTATTTATTTCATCTCTAGCGATATAATAATCAACATCAGCCAATTAACGGGTTTTGTGCACATTATTTAACGACTTAGATGCAGTAGATCAACTGTAAGTGCCTTTCAAAGTACGGAGGAGCTTGAGATGATGAGTTTTTTGTCACCCATACGATGACCTAGCTGGCGAAAATGTTTAGTGCGTGCAACAAATATAAAAGTCATTTTCAACAACTCGCAGGGCGTTAGTAAAGCGCTTTTTAGTCTGGGGAGGGTCACACTCGATGTTTGTGCAGTGTCAATTGCAAATATTGTAATATTTCAACAAAATAAAACTGAAGTCATTATCACAATCATTATTTTTAACCTAATGATTATGTTGACATCTAAAAGGAGCTCGACCACTGTAATGCTCGGTTTGACCATAATGTAATTAGCACATTTGCAATAAGCGTCTACATTTGCAAACTTGTTATAAACGTAAGCATATTTATTATAAATGAATTTAAACGACAGTAAAACCTTTGTCAAAATTACGGTACTATTGTAAGTACGGTACTCCTAATGTAGTTCAGTTAAGGAGTATGTACCAAGAGGAAATTTAGGCTAATGAGTTTACCTATTTTTAACAGCATCAAGCAGGTGTCGGGCTCTTAGTTGGTTAGTATAAATAAACCCGTTAGTACATCCAGGAACTGGAATGAATGAATCGGCTGTGTTTATTGTTTGCAATCACGCAAGAGTGTTGTATGAATGAAGAGTACAGTTGGTTTGTGCCAAATAGAGCTATTTAAAGTGAGATTCAACTAACAAGCAACAGGAGATTAATAGCACATGAGTAACATTTTCGCTTGCTCCCTATTAAACTGTTATAATAATTGTCATTCGACGGTCAACAATTATTATAGCGCGAGCTTCTTCGTGCTTATAACAAAGTATGACGGCTGCGATGTTAAACAAAATTTAGATGAACTGTCGTAAATAACATCCTCAATATGAGCTCCGAAGTGTCTTAAAATGGAATATCCAAAGGATCACGTAACTTCGAATAAATAAATCACTAATTAATCAAAGGGATGATAGTCAAAGTATCCAAGATTCATAATAACAGTCTATCCAAAGCATGAATTTGCAATAACCGTTGTTCGGAACTCGGAACAGTCACGCGATACCGACACAACGAGAGCAGTCATGTCCACTTTACTAATTAACGCTCGGGTACACTCGACTAGCCGATAGAAATTAGATTTCCACAAAATGAACAGCCGACATGATAGTAACTTGCATAAAAACATAAGCTAAACTAAGAGCTTTTTTTAAAAAAAAACATTGTCACATTGCCACCATTTGAGTTCCGAAGTTGATTATCATGACATGACAATAGTCATCATAAGTCGCGTAGCATGCATGACATCATCAGAATTTAATTTACACAGATTTTAGGAAATAGGATTTATAAAATATAAATAATTCATGTCAATATTGCCATAGAATTATTCGATAATGTATCTACACCCAGGCGTTGCTTATTAAAATAAATTATTGTGTGTATCTTATACATTCTTTTAATTCAACTACATTTTAAAAGGAAATCACGTGTTTCAGCGTTTTTGGGCAAATCACTAAACCGGTCCATGTAACCAATTGGACGAGATTAACGAAAACGACCTTCTTAAATAAGCGATGACTGACGATCGTCATTATAAGTCGAGTGGCTCTCCCCACGCCTATAGCAGCTTATAATGAAAATGCTAACACCAAACCATCAAATACGTATAGATACTTTATTCGAATATTACAACAGAAATAGTGGCTAATACTTGCAAGGATTTAAATTGTTTATAAATAATAGTTCGCTTACTTGTCTTATTAAATCAACTTTATGATATTAAATTATATGACGAAGCTTTATCCGTAACACTAACATTCGGACTACATTAAAACCCAGCTCAACGAATTCGTTACGGGAAATAATAACTCGGTTACGATTGTTGTTAAATGGGGTTAACTGTCGGGCGCACCGGCCATCTGTTGGTAAGACGTAAAACGGCGTGTCGGTGTCATGCAAGGAAAAGTTATTTGCGAAAAGGTAGCACAACTGACCGAGGCAGCATCCGCAGAGGCGCATGTTGAGCGAGCGCCGTGGTGCCCGCCCTGGCGACGCATCACCGCGCCATCGACGGACCGCTCTCGTACCACCGCGGACGCTCACGCGCACGTTCAACTCAACTCGTCGTATTTTGATCGACTTCACATCCGAATCGCAGACCAGTTCTTAAAAAACTTACGCCCCCGTTTCGGAACACCGTAATAAATATACTCGGACCAAGACAAAGTCATATTCACAATGAAAGATTACGAGATTCTCTCTTTCTGGTAACCGGAAGTTGTAAACAAACACAGTCGTAGATAACTAGATAACTTGGCAACATAACTAGACATTGAATTTATTTAGCTTCAGAAATATCGGACTAAATATTTTTAACGACGTGAAATTACGATATAATAAACTACCGAAGTAGATTTTTGTCAGCTATCTAAGAAAGAATTTCAGTATATAATTCCAAACACATATTTATGGATCTCGTTGGGGAAATTGACCCGTCGTTCAAAATAAGACAATAAAAATATGAAGAAAAAGACAGATAATGATTATTATATTTAATTAAAGTTCACAAACACTCACACATCCACAAATAAAAGCCTAGCGAACTTGTATGTTTATGTTGATGTTTTGCGTTACACATACAACATATTGAAGAAAATTAACCTAGTCACACACACTAAGGCATAAATGTAATCATATAACTTTTATAGTACAGAGACGACACATATTCAGTTACGCGTCTTGAAAGAACAATGCAGTTGCTGGAACGGATGTCCCAGTTAATGACGCGAAATAAAGGATAAAAGAAAGGGAGCGCAATGCGTGCAGGACGACGTCGCTCGGGTTACTGCGTCGCGACGGCGGAGGCGGCGGCGCCGGAGCATCTAAATCGGGATCGACTCGCAAGTCTCGACGACTCAAATACCTTGACTTCCTCAATATTACATTGAACCCGTCGACCACGAGACCGCTAAACGTACGTCAGTCACCGCCCACTAAACATCTTAGGATAATTCATTTCCCACGGTTAAATAGCAACCAATTTTTTCAAGTGTTAACTACAGGGGGTACAAAATAATAAATCGATGCAGAACAAATTGATACATATTCAGTATCAGCATAAAAAGTAATAATATAATATGTTTACGAATAGTCTGTCAAACTTTAAAATTCCTACGTTAATACTATTTCTTTATAGATAAGGTTGAGATAAACTAGATAAAAATTGTTTTCCTCAGAAAACATATTACAAAGACACATTAAATGTAAACATAAATTGAATACTTACACGGCGAAGGTGAAGTATGAATCGAAGGCGGTGTAGAGGAATAGACGTGGTGATGAACTGGAGAAGCGAGTGGCGATGCAAGCGGAGAACGGACCTTATGGTCCACGTCTACAGCGCCCGCAGGCGATTCTGGCGTTGATGACCGTCGCTTTGATTTTTCTTCCCAATCAGCATCATAGTGTACAGCTTCATAGCCATCATCCTCTAAGCTAGTAGTATCAGAAGGCTTCGGTGAGGTCTTAATATTTTCACAAATATCAGGACTCAGCGAGGTAGGAAGATCACGCTCACTACTAGATTTCCCTTCCTCTTCTTCATAATTTGGAGATTGAGTGGGAGACTTGGGGTTTAAAACAACCGCATAATTATTTGAATCATTTTCTTCAAAACCATCAACGAAATTATCAGATGGCACTCTTAGACCATTCTCTTCAGGTGATGGTGACTTGGAACATTCTCGGCCTGTATCAACTATATCTTCATGAGACACCGGAAGAAGTGGAGATTTTGGAGATCTCGGTGGGGGAGACGGTGGTGACTTTCTTGATCTAGGAGCGGGGTCTATAAAAGACGGCATAGGCACGGTAGTAACAGGTGATATTCTTTCATTTGGTTTCACTACAGTACTTGCTGATGGCACATATTCAGGTATCTTGGGTGAAATAGTACCATCCTTCTCTTTGAGTGCATCTTCATTTGCAATCTCACTAGATATCGATGATCGGGTTTTTGGATACAGTTTTTCAGATACTTGTGGTGATATAGAATCTACACTAGTTTTCACTGAAGATGTGATATTATCCCTTCTCGCAACAGGAGAGGGTACATCTGACTTCACGGTGGGAGACACTGAATTAGTAGATCTAGAAGAAGGTGACACAGGGGCAACAGTTTTTACAGGACTAGGAGACTTTGCACTAGGTAAAACACGATTACTTAAACTAGAAGGAAGAGTAGTTGGACGTTCAACTTGCGAGTCACCAGCGCACGGTGATAACGGTGGAGAGTACACTCGCGAAGGAACAACATAGTTTTCAACCACTTCAGGTGATTTCCTATCTTGATATCTAGAGTCTGGCTTCCCTTCTTCCCCGTGACGCGATGGGCGTGTTTTATTAAAATGAGCAGTCCAATTTCTTTGTTTTTCAATAAGCTCTTTATTAAAACGCCTATCTGGTTTCTCCGGTTTAGGTAAAACACTGGGTTTCACCGGTTTGGGTGGCTGTTGTCCACCGTTCGCGAGCCGATCACCATTGATTGTCGGCGCTGGAGTCGGCGTTATGATGCGCCGTGGCGGGCTCACGGAACCGGCAGAACTGGAGCGCGACCGCGCGGGCGCCGGAGGTGGGACACCCCGTGTGCCTGCAAAACTCGCCGCCGCCGAAGGCGACTTCTCAATTCTAAAACCACGATTTTCTTCACCTAATTTTTCAAAAAGAGCCCTCGCAGTGTTGAACCGTGCAAGGTGGCTCTCTGTCCTCACAACTGTAACGTCGCTACCGCGCATCTCTTCTTCCTCTTTGGATGGCATCCCTTGAAATATATTAGCGATTTTTGAAACTTTAGTGCCTGTATGTCGTTTCTTGCACTCCTCCATGCTATCCGGGTAAGCCCGCTTTAATCCAATCTGAAATAGAAATTACTCAATGTAAATAAGTGAACATGAGATAGAAATAATAAATAGGACACGATTGTAGAAGAAATGATAAACGCGATAAGCGCGCGCGAAGTACGCATTAGCGCAGGTGTAGTGCGCTCGGGACAGAGACTGACGCGAGCGACTCGTCGCGCCTTCCAACCTGATTGTTCTCTGTGTAATTCAGCTTGAGATAGCGATAGTACTGATAACGATTATGCGAATTTATATAGCAACAACTTTGTTATAGATGCAAGAGCACATCTAGAGCAACGATGTTATATGCACATGAATTCTATTTTAATAATTGAAATTTACATGAAACGTTGCAACACTGAAAGGCAGTAACAGTATTTTATATTATGTAATATAAAATACCTAGCATATAGGTGATTCGTGGCTACTGGTGTATATGTATATATATATTATAACTAATGATAACGAAAGGCAAATGAGTTGTTTATTGAGATAAGATTTTGCCGATATCGGTTTCAATCAGTAAAGGGTAATTACTTGTTGTATGTCGTTTCATTATTAATCGAACGAGTGAGAAGAATAAAAGTTTTTGTTGAATATGCTTCTATTGCCGTTGATATTATTTTTGTTAGTCGGTAGTGGGATAGGACAACAGTGTCAAATAGCGACGAAATGTGTCACAGATTATGCCGAAGACCAATGTTGGGTAACAGAACAATTAGTGCCGAACAGTCACATATTTAATTGTTGTCCGAGCTGTCAAGTAACCTCTGGTAAGTAACTGTTAGTTCTTTAGCATAAAATTGCCCTGATAATACACATAGCAAAGCTTTATATAATTACAATCTTTTAAATTACATATTTGCCTATATTAGTCATTACTTTAATCGAAAAAGGAAAATCAGAGATAGGTATCATAAATAACCCAAGCAGCAAAATGTGGTCTAGAAATCGTTCTGGAACCACAATTTCATCAGGACTATAATGGAATAGTAAGCAATTATAACCACGGAAAAGGGCCCATTTTACAGGCGTATTTGCTCTAATTCAATATCTATAATGGACTTAATGAACACTACTTTGTTCAGTAACGACCCTATAGTTAAGTCTACGTAGAACTATTTGCTCCTGCGAAGCTAACTATCAGAGCTTAATGGAACCAAATACGGCAGTAAAAAATCTCTTACATTCAAAGTATTATGAATTGGCAAATGTTGCTGCACATATTTATATTGATAATGGTAACTTTTCATCCATTTCTAATTTTAATTAATATCCAAAATATTAATTATAATTAAAGAGTTACTTAACAATAAGTAATGGCTGGCGCATGTATACTTACGGTGAAGTATAACAAGTTTTCTATTAAAATTTTTACGCGCCTCTCAGAAGTAGCGTTTTTAATAAGTTAGATTTTGAAATAATGTCGGTTTCAGTAAGACCATACAACGAAAAGTCGCCATCTTGACAGATGGTTTTTCCAAATACATTATAAAACCATTTTAGGCGTACTTTGTCTAAAAAGGGCAGACATTAGAACCATTGCTTGGCCATATTTATTGGAATCAGGGTTCAACAAATATTTTTATAACTGGCAAGATTTTCATATTTTATTTTAATATTTTTTTTAGATATAAACATTTAGCAAGGTAGTGTTTTTGGACATCGATCGTTTTTGACTAAAAGCGATTTCGAGCTTTGAAAACATCAAGGTGGCCTTGGGAATAATTTATTGTGTCAAAGTAAGGTAGCAAATCTGATGTAAGAGGGAAAATTTTGAATTTACCTTGAATAAAAATTCATTAGCAAGAATCAATATTTTGTTTATTTTTGTTAACTTCTGACCCATTTACAGCTACTAATGGAATTATTTTTGAATTAACCAATCAGTCAATTATTATCAAAAATTGTTGTTCAAATATTTATATAATTCTGGTATATTTGAACTGGTAAATTTTGATATATTTGAACCATACAGAATACTCGCAAGCTTATATTTTATGTTTGAAATTTTAAAGACGTTTTCCTATCTATTGTTGTTGATTTCATTAATATTGCATTGATATATATTAAGAAACAATGATTTTATTAATTGATCGAATGCATCTTGTGCTTGTACAATAGCATTACCACGTATTTCAATATAATGCTCTTGGGTGTAGACCCAGTGATTTTAGAAAAACAGCCCATTTTCTAAAATCACTATGTAGTTCAAAATTACGAGTAGAATAGTCTTCAATATCGCTTTCATCTTTTGACAGATTCCTCACTTGATAATTCAAGGGATGAAATGATATAAACGATATTGAAATACGAGTTATTAATATAAACGTTCTGTCTCAAACTATCACAAGAATTGTTTTGTACGGAACTATTTCCTATTTCTACGATACTTTCTTCGCCAGACAAAGTTAAAACCGGACACCTGAATTATTTGTTTATAGGTTTTCGGATTTTTTCGTTTGTAAGAACCACTTCTTTTTAGCCGTTTCTATTTATACAGATCCATTTGATAACAGAAGTTAATAGCACTTCGGCAAGGAATAAGATTTATCAGAATTAAAATAGTTTTGTTGAGATTATAACAACTTTTGCAGGACCATAATAAACCAATGTATTCTTGTATCAAATCCTTTATTAATAGGTTTGTGATTATAACAATATTAAGTTACACCACTATAAAACTTATCCATTTTACTTATAATTGTTGCGTATAGTGGATTTATAAACCTATACAAAACCAAGTAATAAATGCAAATGGTTTCCAGTTTGTTTAGCACTCTTATAGGCGTACTTTACTTGTAATAGTTCTATAATGAGTTATTTTAGCAGTTATAAGAATAGCTTACTAGTTTATCTACTCTCGAGTACATTTACACCCACAGCATGCTTTTATAGGGCACCTAAGCGTATAATATATCCTTAATTTCGATCTATAAGTGATTATAAGTTGATATATAAGATCAGATATACTACAAGGCCCAAGTGACTCCATGCTTCCTATTATAAGCGTGGCAGTAAATACTATGACCGTTAAGAGAATGTTATAAGTGCTGATGGCCTATAACAACTGTACTATAGGATAATTTTGCTGCTTGGGAATATTGTACAGTAATGAGGCCAAAATTTGTCAGATTATACTTTCAGCTTTTTTTATTTTACTGACTGCAATCAGTAAGAAGTTCTTGTTTTTCTGCTATATTTAGGCGAGACACCGCCAGTGACTGGATGCAAGCCGCCATATAATTGTCTTCCCGATGGAAGTTATGGTCCAGTGCAGTGCAAAGGTGACATGTTTACAGGAAGGTAAACTCTACGGGAACTCATACACCAGTAAATAGTTTTAGGTCCCAGGCTACTGGTGGCAACCAGGATGTTAGCACGCTAAAACTAATCCGGCGACTCATGCATAATTACAAACTCTAAGAACACAGCCAAACCTTCCGACCGAACGAACTGGATTACCAACAAATAAGTGTGACAAAAACAATTACTTTATACTAGAATATATGTATTGGCTTGGACAACAAGGACATGAGATCCTTATTTTCAAGTATTTTATTTAAATTAGATTTACGATACAAACGATTCTAAAATTCGTGAAATAAACGAATTTTAGAATCGTTTGTATGCTTGGTATATCTGTTTGTATGAAAACACATACATACTTCCACACATCTAAACTCATAGAATCGTCCTTCATATGCAAGGTTAAAGAAAATTACCTCCCAGGCTTATTAAACTTAAGTTTATATTACAAAATCCGATACGATGTAAGTTCAAAGCAATAACGACGACGACGAAATATTTTTGTTTTAATAGAGGAAATTGGTAAGAGGCGTTAAATAAAAAAGGGTATTAGACTTTAATATTGGGTATAGAAAACAAACATGATTTTTACAGCTTAATGCAGCGCAACAAATAACACATCACTATTCGACGTTGAATACGAATCATGATTAAATATATTAAAACACCTACTACTATTGAACTCTAGTGCATCTTTTCATTATCTCTATTTGTACAATACAGGTGTTTCTGTTCGGATGGAAATGGGAACAGAATATTTGGACAAATGTGGAGAACCGACGCGAGTCAAATGACTTGTGGTAAATATTATATTACTTACACTATGCGCTTACGATAACTTAATATTCATATCTTTCAAATGTACTCATATCGTTTAAATCTTATTTAGACATGTATTTACCTGGACTGGCATTTTGGTCAATTCTCCGTACTAAATTTTCGAGTAGCGAAAATGTTTAAAATAGACGAACAAATTAAGATATTACGTTTACCATTAAAATTATTTAATGGTCATATTAAGAAATGAAAGGATAAAACACTGAATAAGGATAAAAATATTCTATTTTGAATAGAATAATGAAATTCACATCACATTACATTAAACTTTTCTATGTTGATACCCAATAAAAAATACAGTAATTTTTGCGTGAGTTTAACAGTCAAACCATAGTCAAATCTGTCAAAAACGTATAGATAATGAAAAAGTACAGAGTCTCTATGACGCTATCATAAATTCATGGTCGATTTATTTAAAAAGTAAAAACAATTAAATCTTTAATGAATAATGCTTAGATAATCTAAGGTATGATGTTTATAAAAATCGCCAGTCCCACCAGGTACCCCAGATGGGATTCGACTCATTAAAGGAACTTGTACTGCGTTTTACAAACAGAATTTTACAGAGCTTTAATTGCAAAATTTAAACATTTAAATCAGAAATATGTGAATAACTAAACACGATTTCATTTTTTATTCACATTTTCATGTAAATATACATTTACGTAAAGATTCACATTCAGGACCACCTTTTGAACAAGCTACAAAAGCATGATAAAGCAAACTACGTTATATATCTATAATATTAATAACTAATACATAATATAATCTAAGTTACAAGATATTGTTTACAGCTTGCAGTAGACGTAGAGCAGAGATGGAGGTATCTGAAAAGAGAAGCGTTACGTTACATTGCACTCGGTCGGGCGACTATGAGCCTTTGCAATGTGATAACGGAATGTGTTGGTGTGCTGAACCTAAAACTGGACAGCCCACAGCCGGACCAGTACCTGAATCAGATATGAGGCAACTGCCGTGTTGTAAGTATTGTAACGTGTTGTGAAGTACTTTCGTCTTCGTCACCACAGCACCGACCATTTTAATCAAACACGTCACGCAAGAGATGAAACATAAGAGACTTTAACAGAAAAGACTGTTTGATTCTTAAATCTTAAACTAAAAATTATTAGTAAGTAAAATTAGAAACGCATTCAAAGTAGAGGATCTTTGTTTTCACTAATGATTCATCGTTGCTCGATTCACAACTGAAGCCAATTGTAAGGACAACAACGACAGATGACAAACTGTTGTTATACACCTGTACAAATAAGTTGATACAATATTAAGGGCCAGTTATAATGACTTTGATTCCTAGAATATTTTTTCCGTAATGCTTTGTGGAATACTAGAAACCAAGTTTGGAAAGTTAAAGATAAAATAAAAATCAAGTATAGGATATAACTTGGACTTTTATCCATTCAGACCCGTGCAGCCCTAATAGATATCGATTATAGGAATGACCTACATAGAGCACTACGTTGTACTGCACTGGAAAACTTTCATTGATGCTGCTCTGACGTCACAGGAGGGCATTTACCCCTATAAAGGTGATTGCTGTATCTCATTCGCGTCAATTAAATACATAGACCGTTAACACAACAAGATATATATCTTTACGAGCACTTTAATTATATTTTACTATTTACCCGTTTCAGCTTAACATGAGAGCAATTTATATACAGTCAGCTTCTAATCATTATAATTCTTTTTAATATATATAACAATCGCCATGTTTCAGTTATTTCAAACAAAACTTTCTCATTGATCACTATCCATTGCTAAAATCAATTCGGTAGTTTTTGATTTTATCATGATCAGACAGTAACATTAAAGGATCTTAATATTACCAATTTACTTTAAGCATACTTTGAATTAATTTACAGTGACACAATATTTGATATGTTATTCAACTTTACAAATATGTACCTACGTATAAATGTGTTATAGGTATGTTGGAACATATAAACCGCTATCCTTTTCGATATTCGAATGAAAAAATTCATAGAAAGTAATAGAATTGACTCATCACACCCGTTTGATTCTTCGCGTTTGGAAGTGTGTTTCAGGCTATCATCTATTTACTTACATTAAGAATCGATATTTATTATTAAAAAGTATTTGTTTAACTTTTCGTTTATAATTTAGAATTTGGTAGTAAGAGTGGAAAAAAATCGAGACACTAAATATTACAATAATTATGCAAACGATTTCGTTTTTTCAGATAGTACATCAAAAGTAGGTAGTCAATATTTACGACGCTGCGAGAGCTTGGTCCATGCCATAGCAAAAATTCAACAGGAACAACAGGATCACGGAACCAACTTCTTAGGGAACCCCGTTACCTTCTGTGACTATGATGGCAGTTATGGACCCTACCAAATCACGAACGGAATGTAAGCACTAGCAATAATCAAGTTTCTAAATAGTATGTTCGGTCTGGCTGCGTTATTTGAATGAACGAATGCTTATTTCAAAAGCTATGAAATAAGCGTTCGTTCATTCAAATAACTAAGTATGTACACACGTCTGCATGTCAAACTACCACAATATGTGAAAATTCAGTAATTGAATTTGTACTCTACGCACCATGTTATAAGGTTTAAAATAGAGTGGAGAAATATTACAGTTTTGTATAACCTGACTTCCTGTTTACTGTACTTTAACTTCAACTTTGACTACTAACATGGTATAGAATTGGAACTCGAAATGAGTATTTTATATGTGATAATTAAGAATATTTTTTGCCAATTGTTATAAATGTTAAGTTTATTTATACTGTTTTACTGTTAGTTCTTACCAAACTATAATATATATAAAACTTAATCTTATATAATATAGCTTTAATAGATTAAGAATAAGTGTGATTTTTGTTGGCAGCGCATACTGTACAGGGCTTGATGGTGAAATTCTGGGATCTTGGCAGGTTGTTTCAAGTGAAATGACTGGAATGAATTGCAGTGAGTAATCTATGAATCCTATTATTCCTGTTTATTCAATTGATATGTGAAGAACCACGTTTACTTGAGAAGCTCTCTGCTCTTAAGTTAATTTTATTGACAAACGGTGCCGATCACGAATGTTTCTGTTAGAGGCTAAGTACATACTTCTGATGATATAAAGTATTCGTCTAGATACGATTGCATTACTGTAGCAAGATGAGAGCAATCGACAGACCATTGGGAATGTTAGCTGGGCACATTCGCATTGTGTCACGGCGGCAACCGGTTGGCCGTGACCCTGTTACCGATATTACATGTCTGAGGGCTGCCAATAGCAGATCTCTCTTGACACTAAACAGAAATATTTACTAGTAGTCAGTAACTAATTTTGTGGTTTCATAAATTATTAAAAATACAAATAATAGTTGTCTCCAAAAATAACATTACATTTTTTTCAATGTGCTAAATATCTCAAAACTGCATCCTGATACTGTATCATCATTATAAGAAACAGTAACACATTCAACATTCTTTTGACGACCCTAGCAATGAGATTTCCACCCATCTCTCCGTGTTGTTGGAATGCGGAGATCGCGACATATGACCGATTAACGCGTAGAAACGAAAATTTTACTCTATACTTTCGTTATGTAAATTAGGTATTGTTCAAATCAAGATTAAAAACAATGTTTATGTTAACCGTGAAGTTTTAGATAGATAAATTCTTTAATTGCATCATGCACACACAATTTCTTTATTTACAAGAACGTTGTGTTGGATCGGACGAATTAATGAATTGACGATACTATTAATAGGGATGATGACTGGGTAAAAAATATAAATTCTATTTAGTTCATCAATCAGATAATAGAAAAATATTAGATACGTCTTTTTTTACTTCAATTTAACAAGAAATAGCTTAAATTAAAGTTGAGGAGTGGGCTCTTGCTACGTCACAGTTTTGTAGAAAATATACCAAAGAATGACGTCATGTGATATTTTAACGTAATGGTATCACCGTAATTTAATGATAACGAAAATAATATTTGTTTAATACTTGTTTTTCAACAATCTACGTGACAGACAAACAAACAAAAATTAGACGTCATTCCTATTTTGTCAATTGACTTTTTCCTGTATATAGATTTGCTCCAAAAGTACACAATGAAATTCTCGAAAATAACGCAAAAATGAAAAAGAACAGTTTAATTTGTGTGTAAAGCACAAAGGCTTGGTGACCATGTGATACGGGATTGAAACTACACAGGCACCGGTCTCCCGCGAATTAATAGGATAAATCTTATTGTACATCCTTTTATAATATTATTTGTGGTGGAAATGAATGTTGTTATTATTATTATTATTGAATTAATTTCATAAGTCAAACTGATCGACAATAACACTATCATGATAATAAAAATCCAATAAAATGTAATTTGAATTACTTATACATATTTATGTTATTTCTGATAATTATTTGAAAAGGAAATATTAACATACATACAATGGATAGACTAAACAAAATATATTTAAAAAAATGAGATTTCTTTTGCTTTAAAAAAACATAGAAATGTTTTGGCATAATTGTATGTTAATGTTTGTTGTATTTAAGAATATTTTTTGTTCCAAACTACAAATCGCAAAAAAATACGAGAGCGATTTATTTTTCATAGAATGTCAATGAAAGGGTTGGCTTAGTAAATTTTTAAATGCATAAGTTATGTTAACTGACGAGAAAATAATCATAATACTCGTAGCAACATACGCCTACAGATGCGCTAAACTATGCTTCTCTAAAATATTTTATATTAGGAACGTGCCTCAAGATATAAACCTAATGACAACGTGATTTCTTCTATATTCATTGGTCAATGATTTGGGCACTGCGCAGGCGAACTTTAGCCATTTTTGGTTAGATACATCCAACTTGCTCACCCTGATTCACATAAGATTACACCTTGTTGTTATATTAGGCAACTATGCATGCTTTTAAAAAATAATAATGATGTAGAAAAAAAAACAATGTCTTTTAAAGTATATTAAAAATAGGTTTTGTATTATTTTCGACCTTGACTTTCACATCACTTGTTATAATAAAGGTAGGGTACCTATTTTGATGATAAAAATATATTTAGTTAGTTATATGTAAATAAAGAGAAATATAATCTAGTCCAGAGAAATATAACAAAGTGAAATATTAATTTAACACCAACCTATAATGAGTAAAAGCTGCAATCCATGTCCATGCACACCCTGATAATGCAATTGCGATAACTATGAAACGAATCGAGCGATTCTTTTATATGATATAACCTTGGCACAGAAGTGCTATAGACGTACAATTTCCTATAAAATGTGTGTAACCAATTTATAATATATATACAATACTAGCTTTCTGCCAGCGGCTTCGCCCGCATGGTCTTGTATTATAAATAAAAACCTTCCTTTTGAATCACCCTATCTATGAAAAAAAAACCGCATCAAAATCCGTTGCGTAGTTGTAAAGATTTAAGCATACATACAGCCAGTTGCACAAAAGTCCATTAAGGTTTAATGACGCCTTTAGGCTCTAATGAATGTCAAATTTGTATGGGTAATGTCGCTTTAAACTAACGAAAGTTTTAATGGACGTTTGTGCAACTGGCTGTTAGAGATATATGGACCGAGAAAGCGACTTTGTTTTATACTATGTAGTGAAGGTAGTGTTAAAATCAGATTTCAAAGCAGAATTGCTCCCTCGATATTGCAATTTTTACCAATTAGAATCATTAGCATTAAATCATCACAGAGACGACGATGGGTTTAAAAATACAAAACATGTGTGGCACCCTCGGGACGCGTTTTCAACTCGCTCTTGGCCGATTTTGTTTTCATTGATTATAAACTCAGATTGCTGCGGTTGCGGTAAGCGGTTGTTGCACTGCACTGTATACACTCGTCGTTGCATATAATTTTAAAAACCTAGAGCTCGGACCAACTTATGCAATATCATACGATATTAAATAGTTTAGCTGGGATACACTACAAGAAACTAGATTACAGGGAACGGGGGAAAGTTTCAGAGACTAGATTATTACGACGGTGTATGAAGTTTAGGGTTAAGAACAATAGAACTCTAATTACACTTTGCGCCCCGCACATCTAAATTGAACTTTGTTTGTGGCTTTTTCTATGACTGAGTGAGAGTGTCTGTGATGAAACTGGTGAAAGCCACCATGAGCAGTGATACAATGTATATTTTAGACCATTTACGGTTTCTTGAACCAGACGAACCTTATATTGTATATCGGCATAGAAAATGTAACGGTTTTAAGCAAGTTTAAGCAACAGCAATGAGAATCTGCGTGGCATTCCATATCCATGCACACCTACCCCATCAGTGTTGGGTTTGATGAACCCTAGGCTTAAATATGTTGGTACTCAATGTATCTACTAATATCAACTAATGATAAAAATATATATAATAATGGGAAAGTTTTTTGTTTATCTATTCGATGGATCTACAATTTGAATGTCGGAGTGATATTTAATAAACATTGAAGGATAATTTCATTTCTAAAATTTAGAATCCGTCGTATAGACAACCAACGCATACTAGTGTAATACTTAATGCATAGCGAATAACGAGAATATTCATGAAACGGTTATATCAAATCAAAAAGAGCCCGCTTCGTCCACCAATCCTACAAAGATATTGACAAAGATTTTGTTGCAGACTGCGCCCGCGACACTATCATGTACTTCCCTGAACGTGGTATGACGGTGACTGAAACATGCCAGCCGAATGGTAACTACATGCCGAATCAGAACGTTGGCAACGTGTTCTATTGCGTCGACAGCGACGGGTATCCCACCACCGATTTACTAGACCAGTGGCCGCCTGGTGGTTGCTCGAACATCATTTCTAATTCCAAGTAGTAATTTTTTGAAAATAATCAATTGTATCAATTAAATAAAGAATTACTTATTATGGTTTGGTTTATTTATTATGTCGACTTATAGGAAAAAAAACTGCCCGATGATAGCGGTTTCCTTTAATTTACCATAGTAGGGGTGGGTCGTCGACGCTTTTTCGACTAACGAAATGAGACTGTTTATCGTTCATTGTAAACTAGTTAAAAAACTGTTTTTTTTTCGACTAGTTTATGTCGTAGACGGACTGAACGGAACAAGAAATTGTGTCAACATTGTGTCAGCAACTCTATATCCTTACGTTGAAGTTTATTTTAAAAATATATTTTAACGTAATCGAGCGAGCGAAACAGAGAATAGACATATTCAGTCGCCACGTAGACCGTTCGAGTCTAGTTGGACTGTTCAAGCAACGCTTGTAACTTACGTTCACACATAAACCAGTTTATCAGTAGACCGTAAACTAGTCTATCGGTTGATAACCATTAAACAGTCTACAAAAACATTTCGTTCATTCAACAAATTCAAAATATAACACAAAGGAAACTATTGTAGTTTATTTTAAGTGAAACTGCTAAAATAAAAAAATATCCAATTATTGTGAAATAGCTATATTTTAACATTTGTCGTAAGGATATTGTTGCACAGTTACAATATTGCCATATTGATTTATAATCTGATGGAGATCATTTTGGTACTGAAATCAATTATTTAATGTTGTCTACGCATTTTGTGGTACATCTAGCTGCAATTGGTATACTTTAGTGCGATCAATAAATGGAGCTGGCTGTATGTTTATGAACGAAGCATTGACTACAAGCCCGTCTTAAGCACAACAGGCGCCCGGGCGCAAGCAGTGCTCTGCAAAAACAGGGAATTTCCCGAAGATCGGTGCAGCGCCCGGGTGCGTTACACCCCCTGCACCATGGGTAAAGACGGGCCTGATTGATTAAATAATATTGCAAATAGTACACACGAAACTTTCAAAAATATCAATGGACGGCTTTATTAATGATGTCAATAAATAGTATATATATTAACACGATACAGTAGTATCTTTTGCAGTATACATCACAAGACGACTTCATGTTTTATTATGTTTCACCGCATGTTTACTTAGGTATACAAAACCGCGCCGATTAAGAACGATAAACAATTATAGAACGGTTGCAACGTAAAGCAAGTTTCCAATTTTCTTTTAATAAATACTCCTGTAATTTGACCGAAGATCCGTCGAGTGGATTAACGGAAATAGGTGTTAGTACCCTCCACGAACTGTAGAATCATTCTTTGAATGCAATGTTGAATGTCAGGTTACATATAGTGTCAGTTCTAGCTTTTCGCAACGGATCTTCCGCCGGATATGCACCGATCCCATTAATACGTAAAATACGTACTCTCGGTATTATCTAAAGACAAAAAAGTTTCATATTTTGCCATTTCATTGTGACAATCTAATGAGTCTTTTAATTATTAAATTAATTAATTATATTTGAATTTTGAAGGATATACGCACCGGCAAACAGAGTATTGGGTCGTCTTGAGAGTGTAGCGCATGAGAGACGCGGCAGGCGCGCCGCCCGCTCGCCTCGCGCGCTCACCCATCTGTAACACAAGACTCGGGTTACTTGCCAGCCACACCGCTAGGTTTTACATATGCTATTTTATTACATTATATTAAGTCGTCAAGGCCGAGGTGGTGCACATGGATATTGTGAAAATAACACTCAAAAACACAAATGCTCTGCTCATTGCATTTCGTATTTAAATAAAACCTGCGTAAAAAGTAATCTATCAAATTCCGACCTCTGTAACAGAGTGGGTAGTCAAAGTCAGCTTTGAGGTCTCGAGTTCTGTTTACGGTAGGATCAATGTAGAAAATTGTTTCAGATACTCCATTATAAGAGTACTATAATTACTCTTCTTCGAATCTAAGCTATAGTGATGTTGTATATATTTATTTATTTTATATTTTCACTTTAAGATTTAAAATTATAGTTCTGGCGCATACTTATCATTCGCATGATCTCTTTACATAATATCAGAAGCCCCATTTGCGGTATTTTAGAAGGTAAACAAACATCTTGCTTAGAACAGCATACGCATTTTAGCAACTTACAACTAAAGTATAAAATACAATTTCTATTAAGCTTATCGATATAAATCAATAATAGCCTAAAAAAGCAGAACAAGAGTTTCGAGCTAATAAAATATTAGTAGCAGGTACGATTAAGAATTCTGAAATATTAGACACGAGATTGAGGTCACTGACTTCTCTGATAAAGTAAAATAGTATGATGTCAAACGTACAGTCCTTTTTACAGCACTGATACACGCGCTATTCAAAAGTAAACTACGTTAGGGTCAGTGCAAATCTGATGGAAGATCAGTCAAGCATCTCACGGAAGTACCCGACGGATAATAAAATAATAATCTTTCAAAAAGAAGTTCTTACGAATAGGTTGAAAGTTTCCTACCTGCATTAACCAGTTTTTTGATCAGATTCTAACTAAAAAAGGTTATACGTACTCATTTCATCAGCGAATTAAAATGGCATGGCATACATAACTTATTTATCATTATAGATAAATTCAGACCAAACGACTGTGGTACGTGACTAAACCTTCAGGCGTTACGCTATTATCAAAGCTCAAGGCTCGACGACCGAGTCGATCATAAGCCGGGTTGTCATTGTAAGCAGAGTCAAGGGTCGCTGAAGGGCGCATCGAAGGGTTCGGCTGCCCCACCACTTGGACACGACACCACCCCACTCGACGCACGCGAACACACCGAGTGGGCTACGAGTGCCGTTCTCACATGGATACGAAGATATTTTTAGATGCCACTGTGAGGCACCCAAATGGGATCTATTATTAGTGATAAGACGTCTCTTTAGTGTGCCGCCCTTTTGACTAATTTATTAATGATTTCTTATTAACAAATAAAAGTTAATCAAATTCAGTACCTATTTATTATAGGAGCAATTTTGTTAGTAATTATAATTAAAAATAACTGTTAGGCGGCTCTGTCCGCGTAAAAAAAAAGAGTCGTTATCTCTATACTCTGTCTCTGCAGTCCCGGCATCGATTCCCGATCGGGTCAATGTCAAAAATGAACTTTACTGAATAGGCTGTGACCTACAAGTGAAAATACCGGTTTCTCTTATATGTCCGAAAAATATGAACTATTTAAAATATACTACAAAAATTAGCTAAAAATACATATGGCATTAAATTAAATACATAAAACGTAAAAACTTTCATTATAATAGCTTTAAACATAAATGTACAAATAACAAAGATATTACAAAGATTGCCCATATGTATTTCGGTACCGGAGCATTGTGTAAATTAGTGCGTTGAATTTGTATGGAGCGTTTTCGACCTAGCTACTTAATTTGGGTCTGGGCAGTATTTATGAAATTGTTTAAAATGTACCATTTATTTATTTGTCTTTCCTAGTTGTTATGGATGATATAGCAACTAGGACATCATTTTCATATTGTTTTCATGTTTTTGCAGATTATATATTTAATGAAATGAACAACTTCTAACACAAGTCTACCTTCAGTATTGTGTGAATAGCAGAAATATTATTTCACAATTATATTTTAACAAAAGATGAGTACCATTTTTAAATTTTAATTAATTAATCTAAACTATAACATTTTATTTATATCAAATTCTATACAGTTTTTCAATTTTATATTAGTATCATATTAAAACCTTGGTCCGGGCAAAGTAATGCAGCTGCATTTTATCTTAATTTCTTCTGAGAATAAAAAATTTTCTTCCCCAATTTGAGATTACCTTCTTTTACAATCCCCATCTTCAAAAGTTATATATTGACAACAGAAAGACTAATGATCTCAGTAACATTTTGGTCATTACACCATTTAGTACTGTTATTCACATTTGTGGCAATTTTCTTAAACCACTCTCTAAATAAAAACACCGATTATTATTATGGTTTGGTTTTACAATCAATAGTCATGTTTAATCAAAGAAATATAAATGTACTCCTGTACACTATAAAAGAATAAGTTTTCTTCTCATTTACAGAATAGAAAAAATCTAAATATATACTATTCAGAAAGCTTAAGCAATAAGCAGTCTGAAAATGATACTTGAACTTAAAGTAACATTTTCAGAAAATAAAGAAATTAACTTTTAAAAATAAAATTAAAAGTATAAAAATTTTTGGTCTGTGTTTTTACTAAGCTAATTAATAGCCAACATGATATGACGTCACTTGGTGTTGTATACATTGACCAAGCTTATTAACAATAATAATAACTCATTTTTTTAATAATAAAAACTTTTTGCAATAGAAATAATACCAAGTGCATATGTTTGTTTACAATTTTCAAAGAGTAATCATAATCTACATAGAGAAAATGAAATAGGTATCTGTTTACAACACAAACTGAAGTCACAACCACAGAGCAACATAGCATTCAGCGATTTTCGCCAAAATGTTTTTACTGATTGAATAAAATTTTTGCATTTTTTTCAGTGATTTAATAGGACCTTAGGCATGTTTTTTTAAATAAACTTATGATAATAACAAATGTTGATATTTAATATCTGAGAAATATTTATAATAAATAAAACTACCTAGTTATGAATGTATCAGTGGCCAGTAAAGAATGAAAATACCTATGTTATAATTATAATACCTTGTAATTTTGAAATTATGAAGGAGGCATTTTGTATACTCTGATTTTAAAGATCTGAATAAAGTATAAATACTTAAATTTTAAAGCATATTTGCAGATATGAGTAGTTCCAGAACCCATGTCCAGACAACAAAGTAAGTTGTTTTATTTCTGCGGAGCCACTGTGCTCCGTGCCACTATTGATATGAAAGAGATAGGACATGTTCAAAAAAGTAAGAGTATGTTAATAATAATAAACAAAAATGTGTTTTGAGCATGGATAAGAAAATGTGATTTCAGATTTATGCACTAAAGTCTAAAATCCATTAATATCATTATCATTTTATTTCATATTTTGCTCTATAAAACTATCCATCTGTTTCATACCTATTATTTATTATATTAAATAATGTAATTTTTGTATGGCAGTTCATCAATTCATAATTTTGCCAAATTTATACACATAACTTTTTTTACAATTTATATACTTAGCTAATCTGGCAAACTTATTTTGTCATATATATTTGGGGTGGACCACCCTTATCAATTAGAGGTAGAGGTATACCAACCTATTCTCAGATCTCCTAAATGTACATAAAGTGTCATTAAAATCAGTGACACTCTTTCAAAGGAGTAAGTGTATGTATGTACTAAAACTATAAGATTTACTGAAATGTCAAAATGAAAGATGTAAAATCACACTCAATGCCATTTGAATTATATATCATTTGAAGTAAAAGTAGGACAGGCCATAATACATGTGAACATTACACAGCTCAGGAACAAAATGTACAGTAGACATGTTAACGGAACCATGTCCAGAATGACAATAAATTGTTCCATGTTAAATCCATTCCAGGACATGATAAACACATGTCTAGTAATTTGACTTAAATTTAGAATAGAGTCTTATTAGAATGAATTGTAAATATTTATTTTTCTAACCTAGTTGAGGTAACTTAGTGTACTATTCATTGTATCTCTCCTTACATCACATAAATGAATAGAACAATTTGGGATGGCTGAATCCAATACATTAAGATTATTTTTTTTTTGTCAATACTTTGACCACTATTAAATAAAGTAACAAGCACACATAGTAAACACCATATATAATGATATTGGTTTTATTACAAAGTTAATATTATTTGTCGGACTTTGGAATAGGTAATGAATATAAAATTTATAAAAAATAATAGGGTACTTGAAACTGTTAAGTTTCTACATATGTTAATTAACATTTCATACGAAATTAGTATTCGTTGTACAAATTACTCCGAATTCATTAAATATCTATTTATCTAATTAAACTTGCCTACAGATAAAAATCTATATAAGTAGGTAAATGAAATTGATACTGACCTTATAAAAGCGTCACGTTTTCTCCTGCTTGCTGCAATCCGGTTTGCCACATCAATGCCAATTTGTACCACATATTAACTAATTTATCACGATTACACTTTCCACAATGATAAAATGTTTCAAAATGTTCACTGTCTACTACTATTATACGCCCATAACAGAATACACAAACAGCATTCTAAGCTAAATTTTCACGACGATACTGGACGAAGATACAAACCTAATTTCACGTCAGCTAATATTGAGAAAAGTAAATTTATATAAGCCCTACTTTTCAACACAATATCTATTGTATTTCTCAATTAATTCATGAAGTAGGCAACTACTGTACTATATACGAAACTTCATTCAAGAATAATAAAAAAAAACACTTTTTTAATTTGCCGTCGATTGCCGTCCTCTGTCCGCTTCCTTCCTTTCCGAGCTAGCATGTATGTACATAGATAGGTACCTGTAATTCTCTTTTCTCCTTCTGTCCCGTGCCTTTGCCCTAATCCTTGTTTCTTTCTTTCTTCAATCCAGAGTTGCCATTGCTAATGCAATTGCCGTATTTTACGGAAACTGTAAGCGTTCCAGGCAAATCTACGTCACGTTAATCGTTAGAATGAGGAAGTATTAAAAAAAACGAAAGCACTAAAAAAGTACCTCCACTAGATGGCGACTCTAGCAAAAGTAGATTTTTCCAGGAAACGAATAGACATAAGACAGTAATTTCCGTTCCTCATAATAACTAACTATTGAGTTTTGAAAACTACTCTACTTTTAAGCATGAAAGAAAACGGGGAGGATTGTTATAGATAAATCAAAAACGTACCGTAGAGACATCTAATTTAATTTCGGGAACTAATGTTTTTTTTTAAATACTTCATTAAATGCTTCATTGACAAGTTTACAAATTTTTTCTATGTAAAATGAAAGAATAAGCATAACCAACAAATATTTAAATATTTATCATTGCCTGCCACTTGTTTATACTACTGCAAGCACATTTACATTGATCGATAGGGTCCAAATAGGCGGCGACTTTTGTGCTTATTTTCATTAGGCGATCATTGACTGTTATTGGGTTTCCTGACTAGAGCAAACTTATTTACATTAGTCGATAGGGCCCGCGGATAGCGGTGATTCCGCACTTATTTGTATAAGTGTTTGATTAAAATTGAAAGAGTTACTATGCGTGCGAGCTCTATCACAGAACAATATATAGTATATCGAATTAAATTTTCTCGCCACTTTGAGTGCTATGTTTTAAATTTCCGGCTTTTGCTAGATGCCTGGGAGCACGCAATAGATGGCAGCACTATCTGAATATTACATCTCATTTTTTTTTGTATGGAGTTGATATTCTTCTCCCTAGTAATTGTGTTCTGAGGAGCAGATTCCCCCATTGTTTTTGACATATCTTCGTGAATCTCTTTTGGAGTTAGTTTTTTTTAAACAGGTAATATAGATTATAATATAGATATAGATTAAAATAGTTTGGGTTTTTATGTGTTAGGCCGCGAACTTTTCAATCCACCCTCATATTAAAAAAAAACATTAGTTCCCCAAATCAAACTAGATGTCGCTTCTTGGAAGTCTATTAAAAATATAGAAAACAGCCTAAAAAACATACACGGTCTTATTTAATAAAAAATATTGAGGACTGTATATTTACTAATACTCGGCAAATATGCAAAATATCATCAATACAGTATACAATATAAACTACATAAACATAAAACTATATAAACAATATGACCTATATTGGAAATTACAATATATTTATAAAACTTATTAATAATTAGTAAGTCCCTACTTCTTTAATTGTTCAACATAAGGAAAAAAATAACATTGTTGATTGGAAACCTATTTATTATGTTTTTTCATATTAGGCTTCTTATTTCTTTTTCTTTTCTTAAATTTTTTAGCAGGCAATAAATCTTTCTCTTTGTCATCTTCACTTTCACCATCATAAGCTATTGTAACAAATGCTCCTGGTTTTCGTTTCTTAGTTTCCAGTGACCTTTTTTCGTTATCAGATTCTATTTCACTTTCAATAGTTTCTTGTTCTTCTTTACCCACAGACTCGGCTTCCATTTTGAGAAGATAACTTTGTTTGTTTAATGCTACACAGGTAATTCTACAACCAGCACTACTTGAACAGATCTCTTTTAACTTTGAGTCTGAAACCATCCAGACCTTCAATTCACCTGAACTAGATGCTGAATACAATTTATTTTTCTCATAATATAAACACTTAACTCTTTGTTGATGGGCTTGGTAAGTCATTGCTGTTGTATCACTAACTGTTAGCGTAATAATATTGCCATTTTCTAAGCCGACATACAATCTTTCATCAGTTATCCACTGCACTGTAGTAGGTTTTGAATTACATGTTATATGTTTTTCTACACCTGCTTTGCTTATGGTCCATACATCAACACACTGTTGATATACAAGTGAAAATCTGTCACCTCCTGGTGCGAATTTTATTTCAGTCGGCATGGCTATACCCTTACTAGCAAGATTGATAGTGAAAGCAGGACGACCTTTGATTAGGTTCCATGTTTTAAGAGTTTTATCACCTCCAATACTCAGGGCTAATTTATCTGAAGGATGAACAGCAATAGCAGTAACAGGTTGACCTGAAGAAAATAATCATAAGCAAGGTTAATAAAGAAAGATTGTAAAGAAAATAGATCATTTTTGCCAGGAAAAGGTATTAATTAATTGTTTGCCTTGTTTGTTTTGCGTTTCCGTCTAAGCCACAGAACAGATTTTAATAAAATTTGGTTCAGAGGTAATTTGGCTTTGTGGAAGGACATAATTGCTATTTATTGTGAAAGAAGGCATTGAAGGTTGGAATGAACACTTATTTTAAAGAGTATACATGTTTTTTTATACTTTCTTACCCGCATGAGCTTTTTTCCAAATCTTTTCAATTTGCCAATTGCCAGTTCTAGTGATTATGATTTTGCCATCATCACTACCAGTGAACAGATGAGTGCCACTATGTGTGAACCCTAAAGTGTTGACTGTGCCATCATGGTTCATTAGGACTGTGTGTTCTTTACGTGTCTTTAAGTCTATAATAACCACTTTGTCATCTGTGCCACCTGTGGCCAGAAATTTCCCAGCAGTAGAAACACAACGAACAGATGCTGTATGTGATTGAGTAGCGAACGTTTGTTTAAGTTTTGTTTCCTAATATAAAAAAAAACAAATATGAATTAGTCACACTATAATGATTAGATTATTACATTTTTATACAAGATTACTCACTTCATTTTGCGATTGCACTGTATAACCTAATAAAAATCCTTCGTACGTTCCAACAACTAATTCATCCATTACTTTATTTTATATTTAACATAAACCTCAGTAACACATTGAGCAATGGTGACAGTGAAAAATGTTGGGCTACCGAAGTACGTATGATACTACCGGCAATGATATATTTTACTCTGTAACAAAAACTGTCAAAAAAATATTTTGGTTTCAAACAAATATAATACAAAATGAAATAATGCACGTACCAAACAGAAGTTATGAATTGACAAATGAGTTTAAAAGTAAGGTTAAGTAGTAGTAAGGATTTCTAATGGTGTGCGGAATCGGTTACCATTAATCGATTAATTGATTTTTCAAATAATCATGCTATCGATATTGATTTCCTAATCGACGATTAACCGTCGATTATTTCTTAAAACGTTAGCAATAGGAATAATTTAAAACGTTAGAACAATACCTAATTACTTTACTACGATGGCTCAGCAACCCATAGCGGATCGCGAGTGTGAATATTATTAGTTGATATTCTATTACTTATTATCGCAGCCCTGGAATACACCCAGTAACAAATAGTTAACTTTACTCTTTGTCTTGGGAACTCCCAATGAATGAATGAACGGATCTAAGTTTTATTTAACAAATACAAATTAAACGTTTCTTACTAAATGCACATGTAAGTATACACGGTACATACCTATAACAAATTAATCACTTATGAGTAATACTATAATCGCTTAATCGATGCGTATAATAACCCAATCTGCACATCATTAGTTATTTCGTCCATGGGACAGGTGAAGTAAAAGTAAGGTTAAGATTTACGATATTATTTTCTAAGTAGGGATAAGTAGTAGTAGTAGTAGTTTCGCCCATGCGACAGGCGAAGGAACTAAGCCACCCAAACAAATCTTGGGCTAAGTAGGTATAAACGAAACGAGTAATTATGCAAGTATTTACTCGACACCAAGCACTTTCGGAAACGATACTTTTAGAATCGTGTAATAGGTAGTATCATGAAGTAAGTAATTGTATCGGTACTTGGTCGTTCGGTCAAAAAACCCGCGTGCATAAGACTGTTTACTCTGCGATGAGGTACTATGTCTCATGAAACATTCTTACATGCGCGGTGTCCCTGTCGTACGACATTAAGTATTGTTGTTGTTTTTAAGATTACACAAAATAATTAACAATTACTTACGAATATTTTTTATGTAACTAAAATCTTAGGTAATAGTCACCGATTTGTCCGAGATATTATGAAATAATTTTATATCAAAAACATATTGGAAAAATTCTAATGTAGAGCAAATAAACAAATAATCATGAATCCACTATCCGCCTGTCCAATTATCTGTCACCAAGTATACAACTCATGCAATGATTGTTACATTTTCACAAATGATGTATCCCTGTTGCCGCTATAATAACAATGAGGAAGTATTTAAAAAAAAAGAAAGCACTAAAAAAGCACCTTCACGACGACTAGATGGCGACTCTAGCAAAAGTAGATTTTTGCAGAAAACGAATGGACTAAAGATAGTCATTTCCGTTCTTTTTAACTAACATATTATAAAACTGAAATATGAAAAGTTCGAAACTTAGATATCAATACAAATACGAAAAACTACAAATAGCATATGAGTTGTTTATTGAGTTTTGAAAACTAATTTACGGAAGGGTTGTCATGGAGAAATCAAGAACGTACTGTAGCGACATCTAGTTTGATTTCGGGAACTAATGTTTTTTTTAAATACTTCCTTATTACTAAAAAAAAAAATATACAATTAAAATTTTGCTCGTTTGCCAGTACAGAATCATTTGTGCACGACTTCTACTGGTTTTTTATATAGATATTTAATATTTTTTGTAATACCTTTAATTAAAAAATACGAGTATTTTACTATTTATTTTCGAAATAGAATCGACTTCAAACTTTGAAAAAATGAGGAATAATACTTACCATTTCAAATTTTTAGGGTCCGTACGCAAAGGGTAAAACGAGAACTAAGATTTTGCTGTCTGTCTGTCTGTCACCAGGCTGTATCTCCTGAATTGTGAAAGTGAGACAGTTGAAAATCTCACAGATGATGTATTTCTATTGCCAGATTTGTCATTAGTGAGAAGTAAGTAACTTCATGATGAAGTAACATGCATGATATTTTTCTATTGAATGGCTGGCACTGATTTCAAAAAATTGTTGGTGTCTCCACTTTTGACGTTTCGATTTTACTAAAGATTTGTGTATTACCTATTTCTCTATTTTCAGTCGTTCCTCTTAATTTAAAATTTTTATTTTACTTAATTACGTTCTTCAAATGAAATGAAAACTAAATATATAAATAATCTTTAATTTAGTCACACCAAATTATTCCACATAAACTAGCCATTTTCTAAAATTTGTCTGTTGTCCTTTACTCTTATAACTTTGCCCTTAGTTCGGCCTCTGCTTACCTTGAAGCACTTCGGGGCATCAACACTGATTTTAATTTTTCGTTTGACGATTGGAGAAATATCAAACGTCTTTCAAAGATAAAAAAAGAATTACTGACATACAGTGAGAATGTAAGAGACCGATGAAGTAACTGGTAACTCCGATAGCGAAAATAGCAAATGGTGTACCTTATATGTAATAGTTATTAAAACAGTTAGTTTCATTTTAATTTCTGTTAACCACCTACAAAATATTACATGAAAAGTCTTACATAGTGAAAATGTTATTGTCGCCTTATTAGACAGGGTCAAATAGCCTCTGTACTTTATATCTCGTTCGGCCCGCTTTTCAGCTGGGAGTACTCTATCCTGTTATAAGTACTAAATACATGGTGTGTAAGCCTTAGACACAGTACAAATATATAAGTACACTCGAGACCCGAGCGAGAGATAATAGCCTAAACATGTAGGGCTGTCGCTTATAGGTTATTATATCGTCAGAAATGCATGGTCAATTAATCTCTAAATTATAGTTTCCCCCGGTATGGTAAGCATCCGGAAACTATAATGACCAATTTTTTTCATATCTAGGTCATGTCATCAATTTAGTGTTTTTGTAAAATTAAAACGTGGTTTTAATGAATTATGTATTTTTTTTCCAAATAATCAGGCTACGAACAAAATAAGATAATGATCACGATCTCAATTTTTAATAATCATGTGCTTTGTACAAACAGTTTCTATCAATGGCCCAAATTTTTTAAATATTACATTGTCTAATACGCAAATATACAATTCAATATCAATTTCAATTTGGCTGTATGAACAAATTATATTAAACTACATGAATAAATTAAACTACAAATTCATATCTGTTAAACGAAATCTTGAGCAGAAATAATTCATAAACACTTTCAATGGGTAAATAGCTACACAAAATTATATTTCCTCATGACATTATAATATATTACCCGAATACCTATAGAACGATATACCATGTACTTGATTTATAAATATACTCGATTCATAAATGCATATTCAATATTTTGATATAGTTTTCAAGCCATCTTAAAATTTTATAACGAGCGTCAATACAGCGACGCGGAATATACGCAAGCACGGTTTAGTAGCCACGACTGGCGAGTTGTCACTAATCACTAGTTTCTTAGCCTTATGACAGGCTCGGCTCGGCTCGGTTCGGGCTTGAGCCGTGGCTCTTTCCCGGGCATCTTCTCCGGGGTTACGACCCCTTGGTGTTGGGTGTTGACCGTTGGTGCAGTTGGTGGAGGTTCTGCCCTCAGCGCGGTCAGCCCACCGTGTGAGACACCGTTGGGGGTGGATTCGCGTTGGAATTGGGTTGGACCATAGGGACAGGGAACGAAAGGGACCTGGCGAAAAATTGGGTTAACCTTGTGTTGCCGCTGTCTGTGGTGTTGGGTTGGTAATGTGGCTTCGTGATGTTCTGGAGGGGGTGGGGGCGGCATTTGAGGCCGTTCTCTGCGGCCAGATTTGGTTTTTGGTAGTGGGGCGGGCGTCCGCGCAGTTTCTGGGACTTCTTTAGCAGTCGCTCCTTCCTCTTTTTCTTTTTTGGGAAATCGCATGTTCTCCTGTAGTAGGAGGGTTAGCCGGGGGAGCTAGGGTGGTGGGAAGACAGGAGACAGGGTTAACGGTTGGCGTAGTTGTATGCCAAGTCGTAATGGGAGTTCTTGTGGGGGGGGAGGAATGGTGGAGGAGGTTTTGGGGGTGGTATGGGTGGGGGGATTCGAATACACAGGCATCTGGCTTCCCTGAGGAAGACCTTGCATCTACGGCTACTGGCAGGGTGATCCTTTCCACAGTTCGCGAACGTGGCCGGTTCGTTACGGTCGCGAGGGCAGATAGATGGAGGGTGCTCGCCGGCGCATCTGACGCATTTTTCAGGGCGGTGGCAGCTTACTGAGCTGTGTCCGAAGGATTGGCATCTGTGACATTGAGCTGGTCCCGTCCTGGGCTTCCACGCCTCAACGATGATGCTTGGCATATTCAACAGGGTATTCAACAAGTAGAGTTCCTGAAGGGTTTTGCGATCCGTAGGCTTCAGTTGTACATGGAACAGACAGCCGGGTCTGTTCCTTTTTGCTAGGACGGGTCTTAGTACGGTCGGCGTGAATTCCATCTTTTGCAGGCTTTCCATTATGTCTTGGAGAGGGGTGTCGGCTGGAAGTCCTTTCAGTGCTACCTTTATTGGTAGCTCACATGGCAGCGAGTAAGAGTGCCAGGTTATATTGGATTCCTTCTCAGTGTTGTAGAGGTAGGCTTTAACCAGTTGATATTCCCTCTGAGATTTGGGGAAGAATCTTATTCCCTTGCCATAGGATCTGGCATTCGGTGGGAAGCCAAGTTGTTTCTTCAATTGACGGAAGTGTTCAGTCCAATTGGGAAGGGACTACGCAAGTATTGGCGGGATACCCTTGGCTTCTTGGGTTCTGAGCAAATCTGGGAGCGGCGGGGTGTACGACTTTGGTGAGCTGGGTTGCGCTGTCATCTGCGAGTACGTCCGGCTGTCCGATAAGCGCGGGATGGTGGCGTAAGAAGTGGATTCAAAATCGTCGCCTTCTTTAGATTGTGGGCGTGGCGTCTGAGAAGGGTTGGTAGCTTTGGTGAGATATTCATCGTCCGAGGAGTTGTGGGATGAGGGGCCGTAACAGGGGCGTTTCTCGTCGCCTCCTATGACGTCATACGATTCGTCCGAGTCACGTTCTAACCTGTGACGGCGTGGGTCATGGG